TGATAAGTCTTGGTGCGATTCTTCTGCCCGAGATCCGGGAACGGTGAATACAACACAAAGGCAACGATCATGCTCGGCTGCACGATTCCTCAGGGTTCCTCTCTATCTCCTGGACCCTCCTTGATACCCTCCTGAAGGTCACTAGGGAGCGCTAAGGCTAGCTCGAAGCGCACGGGCATCAATGCTATTTTTTGCCACACTTCTTGATAATGATTTCTCTGTGATCCGTCTTCTCTGCTGCCGCGCACAACCCACTCCGGCGCCAAGTGCCGCGAGCGAAAACGAGCGAAAAAGGCTGAAAAAGATCACAAGCTGTCCATCGTGATGACCGTGGCCAGCGAACCGCGCGATGCCAGCTGCGTCAACGAGCATCAGCCGCCGCGTTTGGCATCTTTGGGTATGTTTTCCCGTCTCCGTCCATGCGGGTCCGGAGAGGATACAAACCCCGCGAATGAAGGTGCCCTGGACGGCCTCAAGGCTTGCGTGAAACAATATAAGCTGCCGCGGGGCACGTTTGGTGACGCTTTCAACCCTTTTCCCTCCGGACCCCTCTGCTGGTCGATCCTCGTTCCGCTCCGTCCCCGGGCGTGCCTCTCCTTCTCGTATCCGCTCCTTTGTATACCCCCAACTATCCTCCCCATCATGCAGACCTTTTCCCGCCTCGCCGTCATCGCCGGTGCGCTGACCGTGGCATCCGCCCAGTTCCTCCCGCAGAGCTGCTACTCGCTCACGGCGCAGTGCAACTACGTCGACGCCGATCTCAGCGATGTGTGGGGCAACGTCGCCTGCACGCAGTACGCCCTCTGCGCGCAAAACTACAAGACACCCGTGGAGATCATCGGGCTCCTCGGCGCCTCGGCGAACCAGCCGAAGCTCTCGCAGGACGTGTTCGCCAATATCACAGGCGGCGACCCGTTGCTCACAGCGGAGAACTACGCAGTCAACTACGAGAAGGCCGTCGCGCGTGCGGGCGGCACGTATACCGCTAGGTATGCCCTTAATCTCCCCGTTGATCCGTCTTGGTTTGCTCACAGATGTGTGATTGGGGATCCATAGCGACAACGCACTCGTCGAGGAGCAATACCGCATCATCGCCGGCTGGACGAACAAGTGCGACGGCGGCATCTCGTACGACGATCTCGCCGACTGGCTCGCGAACTCGGCCAAGCCCGGCGTGTGCCCCAAGGTGACGTCCTGCGACGGCAAGTTCGCGGCCGTGGACACGCCGTGCGGCACGCAGCCGGATGGCGAAAACGGCTCGTGCGCCGCGGTCAATGCGCAGTGCGAGCTCTGGGTCACGGGCGGCGCGTGGAAGAACGAGTACTGCGTGCTCGGCGCGCTGTGCTACAGCGCGGCCTCAGCGACTCCCGACGTAATGCTCCGGAACGTGTACCCGACGTATGTCAATGACACGCTGATTCCGACCGCCGGCACGATCGGGCGTCTTCCTCTCGATGTTGGTGTTTTCGTCGCTTTGGGTACGGCGAACTCTGCTGACAAGGACGATAACAGGTTTTCCAGAAGATGACCGGCGGTGCCGACACCATGACTCTTCAGAACGCCGTTGACGCATACTACAACGCTCTCGTACGTTCATCCCACGTCGTCTCGTATGCAGCCCAGTCGCTGACGGCTACGCCATGCCAGACCAACGTCTACGCCAGCGCCGGCGGCCCCTTCGGCGCCCAGACCCCCGTCCGCAGCGGCAACAACGGGCCGTACCCCAACACGCCCACGTACATCAACCAATTCTGGTCCCTGATCGCCGCCTGGACGGGCAACTGCGACACCATGGCGGTGTCGTACAGCCAGCTCGCGGACTACCTCCAGTTCTCGTCGACGAGCGACTACCATCCTACGTGCTAAGCCCATGTTGGATGTACATCTCACACTTTAGCCTCCACGGAGTGGGTGGCACTGGACTGGGCGAGCCCCGGTTGTTTCTTGTTTATGGTGTTGTTCGTGTTCGTTCTCTCTAGGTAGCTGTGCCGCTCTTTTCACGCTACTCTGGGTCTATCGTATTCTTTTTGTATGTTCGGAGACGTAGGCGTCTAAGGTTACTTATGGTACCTCGATACCCCTGATTTGCATTTTGTACAAATAGTCACGCGGTTATCTTCATGCCAGGTTCTGAAGGCACTGCGATTGAGCTCGTATTCTGTTCATTCTTCTAAGGTGGGTCCTAAACATAGCGTAGGTCTATAATGAGAAGCAAGGACCGTCTCTGGCGACGAGTGCCAAATGTCTCGACTCTGTATCTTCACCATGTACGAGGTGTATCTCTTCCCGTTCATTAGCCGTCAATCAAGCCTCATGGCTCGCCTCGCCCATCCTCACCCACAATCCGCCCTAAGCATCGTTAGACGGCACCGTTTGAGAGCGAGAGCAGAACGTCCGTACCTCAACGTACATAGTCAGATGCGACCGGACCATGACCCGCTCCACGGCCTGGCGGCCCTCCGCGCGGGCCCACTCTGCCGGGGGCATCTTCTGCACGTCCTCCGCGAGCGCGAACGTCGAGAACGCCTGGAGAAGCTTGATGAGGAAGAAGGAGACCTCGTTGTATGCGAACTGCTGCCCGAGGCAGATGCGCGGGCCGGCGTTGAAGGGGACGAAGATGAAGGGGTTGGGGGTTAGGTACTTGTGCAGGCGCTCGTCGAGGAAGCGGTCGGGGTCGAAGTACTCCGCTGGGGCGATGTTAGACGGTGCGTATGCGAGGGAGGTAAATGAGCTTACCGTCGGGGCCCCAGAGGTCCGTGCGACGGTGCATCCGGATGACGGAGTACGGGGTGCTGAGCAGATGGGGTCGTTAGCTAGTGCTGAGACGTGAAGGTCGATGACGTACCGAAGGCCAGCAGGGATGTAGATGGGAGGCTTGCCGTTGATGCCAGGCCAGACGACTGCCTCCTTGGCGGCTCTATGTTGCGGTTCATCAGTGAGAGGGGAGGAAAGAAGAGATTCCTGGGCTTTACCTGGAGTTGAAGGGTCTGTGGACAAGGTCGATGAGCCAAAGATAATCGCGCGTACAGGTGGGACACTTACACGGCGGGATATAGACGGAGGGTCTCTGCAAGATGCAAGGCCGCTTAGCTTAGCTTGTCGAGCGGTAAGAATAACGACGAACCGTTAATGAAGGCGCGCAAGTACTTCATGTCACGCATGTCCTCAAGGGTGGGTCTCCGGGAGGGGCCGACCTTGGTCAGGACCTCTTCGCGAAGGCGGTGCATCATATCCGGATGTTGAGTTAGCATGTATACGGCCATGGTCAGCGTGCATGCAGTCTGTCAGACAAGCTTAGTGCACTGCATTACCGAAAGATACTCGCCACGTACCGTGTCTCTGCCTGCGATCATGATGTTCATGATTTCGTCCCGGATGAGCGTCTTGTCTGATTCAAGACTCATAAACTTCCTGAATGATTACACATAAAGGCGTCATGCACTCACCCTCAGTAACGTTGACAAGGTGATCAAGCAGCGTCTCGCCCTCTTCAACCTCGCCCTTCTCGCGCGCCTGGTCCAGCCCCGACTCCTTCATCTCTCGCTTCCGCGCGAGCGCCTCGTTTAGAATGGGCTCCGCAAACTGGTTGCACACATTCATGTGCTTCTGCACCTCGTCCGTCCAGAACTCGCGCAGGCGCCAGAGACCGGCAAAGAAGAACCGCGTTGCGGTGCCGACCTGGGCCTCGCCGAACGCATGCGCGAAGACGTTCGCGGGGTGGTCCTTGGCGGCTGAGGCGGCGGCGAGCGGGGAGTTGGGCGGGTAGACGAGGCCGGCGGAGAGGGACTGGACGTCTTTGCCGAAGAGGAACTCGGTGGCGGAGTCGAGGGTGAAGCGGGAGATCAGGTCCTGGAAGGCCGTATAAATCAAACGACCGCAAGGACGAGAGAGATGCATACCTGGAAGTCAGCGGGGTGGCCCTCTCTCAGGCGAGCCTTGGCCTGGGCAAGGGCGTCCTCCGCGTGTCTGTCGAAGTTGTCGAAGTGGCTGATGCGATCTTTGGTGAAGAAGGGCCTGGTCATCGAGCGATGGAACCTATCCAAGCAAGCGATTATTGAGAAAACGAGCTGGTCAGCAAGACAAGCACATACTTCCAAGTTTCCCCTGTAGGACACGTCGACTTGAGAGGAATGAATGGGTCGTTGACGGGAGAAGAGCGTACCATCCGAGTTGAACACACCCGTTCCCAGCAAAGACGTCATCAGTTCATTTGATTTGGGACCTGCTTCTCGTCAGAATACTGCTATGGAGCAAGTTGAGTCGGTGCTCCGGAGTTCACCTTTCCAGTGTTCGTTGAACTGCGTAGCAAGGATAGCCTAGCAAGAGCGTGGTTAGTTCGCTCATACATTCATGGACCCCTGCGCATACCTTGATATACTCTGGTTCGATAGTCTCGATCTACAGATGAATAGCGATCAGACATCACGATACGTTTCTGCCATTGTGCGTCAAGCATACTCTGTCATCCCAGAGAATGCGCATGGTCATGGTGTTTCCAACGGCCTTGTGATCCGCAGCGATAGATTGGCCTATACTGACATAAGAACGGTGCGCATATACCCATGTACTGACCCAACTGACCGATATAACCGGTCGTAAAGCCGTTGATGAGGGCCGCTACTTTGTCTGTTGCTCCCAAGCGCTTGTACGGGATCATAGGTGCAAGGACCGCGCCCCTCGCGGCTGCGGCGCGTGCATTGCGCCAGTCGGTATACACGACTGACAATGCGAATGCACCAGGGATGGAAAGGATGTATGCGATGACATGGAGCCAAGTGGGGAGGGCTAGGACCTGCCATTCGCGAAGAAGCCGTAAAGCCGCGTAGGTGGTGGTCGCGGGAAGCAAGAACCGCGAAGGCACGTTCTGAGCAATCCAGATAAACCCTGGCGGTACAGCCATGGTTGAGGTGATGGAGATCTAGAGGAAGGGTTAGATCAGTTCTGTGGGCTATAGGAGGACCGTCGCAGATATGAGAAGCATCAAGGGGGTATATATATGTTGCCTGTCATTTCAGGGTCGCAACAGTGGTAACACATCACTATTACTCACTGCCGGCGCTGTGAGGCCGATTGTCGGGAGAATCAAATTCTCATCCTTTCTTATTTACATGGAAAGCAAGTCAAGTAGCTGCGGCTCACTGCGTAAAGCTGTCCTGCAAAGTCGAGATGTGAGTGCTGTTGCCACGAAGTGACAGACGTCAATCGTCTCGGAATTCATTGATACATGCAAAGACGGGCCGGGGCGCGGTAAGTTGCGACCTCGGAAGCAGTACCCGGTCCCTCGAGCAGCCACCTTGAAAGCCGAATCACATGTCGTCGACCATCTACTGGCACGAAATATGTTCTCTAGGCATTTTGCTACTCTTCTTCGCCCCTTCTCTGAGAGGACGTTCAAAAGGTTGTTCCTCTCAGGCAGATCGTGTTATCGACGCCTTTTGTTTTGTGATTGCACTGATTCTGAGCCTGAGTCTGGAACGTGCGGTATGACCTGTGAATGCTTGGAGATCCAGCATGACCGGGATCGCTTGATGACCACAGTAATTGCGATGACTCTTGTATTTTTTAGCGGGTTAAATTTGTATTCAGAACATACTACGGTTCCTTGCCTCTGGTGTGTTTGTCCACAGAGTCATACTCAGATATCCTTTGATACGGCTCCGGTTGCATTTTGTCCCCAGCCAAACGTGGGCGGGAAGGCACTCTGAAGTACTCGGAGCTATCCTTGCACGGTGGAACCGCCGAGATATCTCAACACCTCTTATCAAGGCGCATGATTTGTGCCTATTTTACGACAGTTCTTCTACTAAGTTGGATTTTGGATGACATCAAGATTTGGAGTATCAATTCTGAGGCAGTTACACCGCCTTTTGATCCTCTTGAAGTCGTCAAAGCCAGCCATTGCATCGAACGCCTAGCATAACGGACAGGATTGGCATCTTCCGAATGATCTTGCATAAGATCCAATAGATCTAACGTAGACAAACCTTCATGGACGCGCCATCGGACATGATGGGGGCCATACCGGAAACAGCACGGCACCCCCTGTCAACCCCGGCGTTCAAATCTGTAGCTTTTCCTATACGCGACAACGCCATTCTGATTTTGTTTCGCATTTTCATCAAGCCGCCACTGATATTTGTACATCGATGGGACATTGGAGCACGTATAAATTCACGTATCGTGTTGCAGATGGCATCTATGTGTTGATTCATTCCCTCACAAATACTCCCCAATGTCCATGTCTAATTTGAACGTTGAGGAGCTAAAACTCCTTTTTACCTATAGATGCATGCTCGGTGTGTCCCATGAGGTTTACATTATACCTTCACTAAAGTCATCTAGCTGCTAGCACGGCCGTACTTATCTGGGACAGTGCACTCATGATAAGAAGGGAAATTGGGGCAATGAAAAGAATTAATAGCATTGTCCTTAGGATCGCCTTTGCAGGCAACAGAATTGGTGCAATGGTGATGGTTATCCCATTTTACAGAAGTAAGGAGATCATACGCTAATAATAAAGAGGATCACTAACGCACTGTTGTACAAGTCATGTTTTCCAGTGCCGACTTGAATGATCACAGGGTAAGTGCATGATATTGACTACATTGATCATATAAATCACAATGTCTTATTCACTGTAGTAACCTATCGCTGTAAGGGCTCTTAATAGCTGCTTCTGACCACTCCTTTTAGGTGTGCTGATGGGGTACTCGTTATTGGAATACTCTTTGTCATTGCGGATGCGTTGGGAAACTGTGAGCATTCTAAATAGCCTTCCTTTAGCAAATAACTAACGATAATCTTTCATGGTTCGCGCTATAAGTCTCCGCAGTTGGCAGGATATTTATTCTATGGAATAAAAGTCCGAAAGCTCTTTTCTACCTGACAGTTGGTGCCCTCATTTCGTTGAGTTGTAACTTAGTCTTGATGGTCATCAACAACCAATCGGAGTGGAGTAAGCTCGCCATGGACTGACTCTACCTGGGTCTTTGTTGATTCATATTTCAGAGTACATGCGCTGGGTGGGCATTCCAGGAGTACGCACGTGCTTGATTGGAGACTGGCACAATTTCTTCGTCATGGGGATATTCGTCATCGAGGTATAGTTTTCGGCTGTTTCTCTCAGTCTGTTTATTAATGTGGAGAACGTTCAGCTTGTATTTGACCTGTATGCAGTGCTGCTGATTTATGTCAATGTGATGGACATTCCGAGGACAAGTGATTCACAGATACTGGGACTGCTGCACATGCAGGGGTTGTGGTTTATGACAGTGAGTGAGGTTGCTCTGGCAGAGACTGATTCATGCTCAACTTTCACAGATAACCATAGGTATGTTGGGGAAATCCTGGTCACGGAAAAATCTAATGACTTCTCATGAAATAGCACTCCGTGTAATCAACGTAGCCCTAACCATAGTCCCTGGGGTAACTTTCATAAATCTCCTTGAAAACATTTATTTGTGCTAATACTTGATTCAGGAAAGCTATTGGGTGATCGCTGTCATGTAGGTATCTTTTTCGCTTAAATTCACAACTTAATTGGACGCTGAAATCATCATCAAAAGTTTTATTGAACCAATCATAGCCTTGCTTAATTCCCGGCTGTTTGTTCGCGCTTGTGATTTTTGCGAGGAAATGCAAGCTAATAGGGGGTTACTTGAGGAATTCACTCTGGGAAACCTGAAGGTGGGAGGACGGCGAGCCTGTTATTTCCAGAGTGTCCATAGCTGACGCTTTCCCTTTGGAGGTCCAGCCTCGTTAAATGTCTTACTTATGACTTACCTAGCTCTTATGAATATCCTCACTTTTATGTATTCCCATACAGACGGCGGAAATATTACCAATAGCTAAGATTCAAACCCTCTCCAACGAGAAACATGTTGAAAGGCGGTTCAATCTGATGCAACGTTTGGTCATTGCCCAGGTTACGCATGTCTTGTTTCTTCTTGATGAAGTGCCATGCCAGGGTTCGTGCTAGGTGTCGATCAGCGAGAACGTTTTCAAGTAAAAGATATTTTAAGCATTTCCCTGAGTAGTTAGGCGCCTTCGATTTACGTTGGGCCACATGGGAATCAACTCGGCACATCTGTGATGGAACGAAATACAGTCCATTCCTTACCAGAAAAACGTGGTAAGAGGAACGTAGCTTATTTCATGAATGCTGATCCTGTTGACAGTTATCCTTGTCCGAAGCTATAGCATGGGTGACCGTATTCCCGTAAGTGGCAACGTTATCCAAACATATTCTCACATTCATGACGTGCAGCTATTGTTTTCAGGGCATAAATGGGATACCATTGGGCCATATAAACTTGCAAGTCCCGGGCACTGTGCCACTACTTTCCCTCTGCATGCTACTTCACCGGCACCTCTGGTCCGTCACGCGTCACGACCAGCCTTCCATGTCTGACCCAGCCGTGAATTATAACCATGAAATGAGCCTCTTGTTCACTTTCAGATGTATGCTCTGTACGTCGCAAGTTAATTCCTCTTTAACCTTTCGTCGTTGACTTAAGCTTCAGCAGCCAGCATGACGGCGCTGATGTGGGACGGCGTAGTTATGTGCAGAAAGGAAATTTGTACCATCCAAAGGATCGAGAGTCGTGTCCTTCGAACTGCTTTTGCCGGAAACAGGATCGGAGCCATGGTGATGCTTATACCGTTCTTCAGAAGTATGGAGAAGTCGTGTCACTATTGCACAGCCGGATACTTACCCTCGCACCAGTAATGTTCTCAGATATCAGCTTGGACAATCCAAAGGTGAGGTAACACGATCTGGCTCAGTAGACAACAGAACTCACACTGCTCGACGTCAAACAATGTAGTAACTTATTTCCGCATGATGTCAATAAATCTATACATCTGACCATTTCTCGCAGATGCGCCGAAGGCGTCCTTGCCATCGGTATAATCTTCGTCTTTGCAGACGCGATAGGAAATTGTGAGTACCTATCCGATCATGCATATGGTCCGAGTCCATCTTACGCTTCTTGTACTTCGAATTAAATCCCTTTATGATTTCAGTCTCAGCAGTGGGGCGAATCTTCCTACTATGGAACAAGAGCCCAAGGATGCTTCTTTATCTGATATCAGGCGCCTTCATTGCACTGGGCTGTAACTTAGCCTTGATGATCATTAATAGCCGCACTGCATCAGGTAAGCTGACGAGAATCAATCGCTCGTTGTTTATGTTCACTACTGTACTGACTGACCTTCCCCCAAGAAATAGTATGGATCGGAGTTCCGAGGATACATACCTGCTTGATTGGAAACTGGAGTGGCCCGCTCATCACTGGAATATTCATAGTCGAGGTATCCCTTCAAGAAAACATCCCGTATTTATGCTGTGCTGACATGAGGACATTCAGTTAGCATTTGATTTGTATGCAGCCTTGTTAACCTGCGCAAACGGGATGGGTATTCCGAGGACAAGCAATTGTCAACTCTTTGCGCTTCTTAACAAGCAAGGACTGTTTCTTATGGCAGTAAGCTCTCAGATCCTGCTGACTAATCAACGCTCATGTTTCGCAGTCAACGATAGGTAAATCCAAAGCTACAGGAACTTCAAAGAAACCTATCGATTCTCATATATATATTCCTTCCTGAAGCGCTACGTATCGTCAATATTGTGCTTACTACAGTTCCAGGGGTAAGCGCACAGCGGGTTCGACGTGTTTACTCCAGCTGACACTCAGTGAAAGGAGAATTGCGTGATTGCTGTTATGTTGGTGTCTTTTTTTGGCTTAAAATCGCATTTTCAAGCTGACGTCAACCAGCTTCGTTGAACCAGTAATTGCCTTACTGAATTCCAGGTTAATCGTTCGAGCTTGCGATTTTTGCGAAGAAACTGCGTTGGACGACGACGAAGATGCAGAGGAAGGAATTGAGTTGACACCTCCCAGCGAGAACCGCATCCAAATCCCCAAACTACCATTCTACTCTAGCAATCCGGACTTATATTCGTTTGGCCTTGGATTCGGCAGTTGACGAAGGTTCCGCAGGGTGAGAGATAGAGAAACCGTCATATAGTAGAGCATGTAATAATTCACAGATGATGAGCGTAGATTAAGACCAAGGCGAGTTGATAGCGAATCAGAAACATTCTAAGCCTCTTCAACATCCTTAGCCTCACCCATTCTCACCCAAAGTCCGCCCTATTGATGATTAGCTGATGTACCTCACACTACAATCAGTTTGACAAATACGTACATGGATGTACATCGTCAAGTGGATCTTGATCATGACCTTCTCCATCGCCTGACGTCCTTTGGCTTCGGACCACTCGGCGGGCGGCTTCGGTTGAACGTCGCCTGCGAGCTCGATGGTCGAGAACGCCTGGAGGAGCTTGACAAGGAAGTACGACGTCTCGTTGTAGGCGAACTAGATATTACATGGTTTTGTTAGAATGCTCGAAAACTCGACATAAGAGGAGAAGGTACCTGTTGACCAAGGCAGATACGCGGGCCAGCGTTGAAGGGCGTGAAAATGAAGGGGTTGGGCGTGAGGTACTTGCGGAGACGTTCATCGATGAAGCGGTCAGGGTCAAAAAGCTCGGCTATATCGCCTCAATGTGGGAACGATGTCTGAAGTCCTAGATAGACTCACCGTCAGGGCCCCAGAAGTCCTTGCGGCGTTGCATGAGGAATACGGAATATCCAGCGCTATGTAGTGCGGGTGAGCAGGTGTTATCAGGAAACAGTAACGGGCACACGAACGTGGTGTTGGGAGGGACATAGATAGGAGGCTGTCCGTTGATACCAGGCAAAACTGTGCCTTTGCTTCCGGTTGCCCTGGGATGAATGTTAGCGCTGCGAAGAAAGTAAAAATAATCCAGTCTTGCCTAGAGTTATTGGGGCTGGTAGTGGAACATTTTCCAGTCAGCGAGGTCAACATGTCAGATGGATTGGTTGAGCTTACACAGGTGGGTAAAGACGGAGAACCTCATTGATGAAGGCACGCATGTATTTCATGTCGCGTATACTTTCGGTAGTGGGTCGGCTTGAAGGTCCAACTTTCGTCAATACTTCTTCACGGAGACGGCGCAAAATGTCAGGATGCTGGGACAACATGTACACGGACATGGTCAAAGTGCATGCTGTCTAATCAAGTCATGAGTTTCACATAGTCAGGAAGCAGAATACTACGCACCGTATCTCTGCCTGCGAGCATGATGTTGAACAGCTCGTCGCGAATCAGCTTCTTGTCTGTACAATGATTTGTGTCAGCCATGCAAAGGCAGACACGTAAAAATAAACGAACCGTCGGTGACTTTGACGAGATGGTCGAGCAGCGTGTCCTCTTCGTCAACTTCCGCCTTGTCCTGACCCTGATCAAGCCCCTTTGCCTGCCTCTCACGCTTTCTCTCCAGCGCCGCTTCCACGACGGGCTCGAAGAACTGGTTTACGATTGCGGACTTCTGTGCAACTTTGTCGGTCCAAAACTCGCGCAGGCGCCAGGCGCCCGCCCAGAAAAAGCGCTGACCCGTCGCAATCTGGCTCTCCATGAAAGCGTCCGCGAAGACATTCGCCGGATGATTCTTAGCAGTAGAGGTCACTGCGAGCGGGGAGTTGGGTGGGTAGATAAGACCCGCAGAAAGGGATCGAACGTCCTTGCCGAAGAGGAACTCGGTTGCGGAATCGAGCGTGAAGCGGTGGACCATATCCTAGAAGATGATCAACCATGGAATTCATCGAAAGGTGAGGACGAACATGCTTACTTGGAAGTCGATTGGCAGGCCCTCCCTTAACCGTGCTTTGGTCTGCCCAAGGGCGTCCTCGGCATGTCTGTCAACGGCGTCAAAGTGGCTGATCCGATCTTTGTTAAAGAACGGGCGAGTCATGGTCCGATGGAATCTGTGAAGTGGATGTGATGAATAAAGAGTGGAACGGTCGAACACAAAATACGCACTTCCACATGTCACCTGGGCAATAATAATGTCAGAGTTTCGCTCAGACGGAGTTTGGAGTGTAGTGTGCATACCGTCTGAGTTGAAAACGCCAATCCCAAACAAACTCTTGAACTGTTCGAATAACACGGGACCTTTCTCGAACGACTTAAACTGAGTAGCAAGGATGGCCTGGGGGTATGGCACATAAGTGTTGTTACCGTCTACCAGTACGCATGCCATACCTTGACGTATTCGGGTTCGGACGTTTGAATCTGCGATTATAGCTCAGAACGGCTGTCGAGAACGAATGACAGGCCAACATACCCTATTTTGCCAGAGAACTGGCGTGCTCATCGTGTTCCCGACGGTTTCGGCGTCCCTCCTCTGAACATCGCCTGTAGTTTTTGTCAGGCCGAGGCTGTACAACGACAAACTGATCAACTCACTGATGTATCCGACCTCGAAGTTGCGCGCAAGTTGTGTAACTTTATCGATTGAGCCCGGGAGCCTCGACGGTACCATAGGGGCTAATACGGCGCCCCTGGCAGCCGCTGCGCGTGTGTCACGGAATTTTGTGTACAGCACGGCGATCACGAATGCGCCTGGGAGTGAGAGTGCACAGGCAACAACATCCAGCCAGTGAGGGAGCGCGAGCCGATGTTGCTGGCTAAGGATGTGGAGGGCTGCATATGTTAAAGTGGGGGGTAGCAAGAACCGAGGAGCGTTCTGGGCGATCCAGACGAAGCCTGGTGGAACAGTCATAATGTTGTAATGGGATTGAATCTAATAGGGAGAATGATAAGAGTGTGTTCAGGGATGTGAGGGAGCAAACATGGTGCTGAGAACCTTTTATATATGCTCACTCTTATCCAGTAGCCAAAATCGAGATTCACATAGGGAACACCTTTGAATGGATGAAATCGTGGGGCGCAGTCGATAGAATGACGTCTCCATCCCTGTGCATAGACTCTATCGCTGCGTATCGGCATCTTCAAACGAGATGCTGCAACGTTCACCGAGTCCAAGCCTCGGTGGTCCACTGCCCGAGGAGATGCCCGAAGCGTGGCCGACCGAGGACAGCAAGTAACCGGTAACCCCTAGACACGACCGATGCGACCAATGGCATCCGCCCCCGGGAGTCTTCAAAGCTTCACGCATCAGCGGTTCGTCGGGAAATGCTGACACGTTGACAATTGGCTCAGATAAAACCACTGAAACTCTGCCTGGTACTACGTTGCCCGGTAGCCGTGCTCTGTCCGAGTCAGAGCCCGCGTCCCCGGGCATGTCCGTACAGCAGTAGCCTTAGACCAACGTTTATATTTTTCCGTGCCGGTCGAGTGGCTGGTGGCAAACTACACCAGTTACTTACCGGTACTTACCATTGGCAGCACTTGAGTCGCTCTAGGAAACGCACAAGCTGACGCCTCAATCGCGACGCGTTCGCGGATGCAAATAAAGCCACAGCCACTGTGTGCAAATAAGGTCAAACTGCATGCACTAGCGGAGTGTAATACCAAACTTCTTTTGTATGAACGACGATCTCTTCCAGGATCATGAGCGTATCTAGCTGCAGATGAACTTAATTAAAGAGTATGTTGTTTTTTTCTCTCGCTTTTTGAGAAAACGTGATTGAATGTGAAAAAATGTCCATGTAGTTCTGCGGGCTTCCGATGGCGTTACGTCAGGTCACATTCAGCCCGATGTTTGTTCTGTTGCACAGCAGCTACTAATAGAAGCTCAGAGCGCTTAAGAAGCCGCCTTGCTTTATAAACGTGTTGCAAGCGTCTATTGTTCTTTCCTTCCTTACCTCTCCCTTCTCCCACCCTGTGTTGAGGACTGAGATCTCATATACTGGTTTCGAAACAATGCGTCTTTTCAGTTACACCATACCCCTTGTCTTCTCGTGCCTGCTGCTCTTTCTGTGCCAGTCCTCCCAAGCCGCTAGTGTAGTGCAGATTGGAGATGACGGACTAGGTACGCGCTCCTCTCATCTCTCATCTGATGGCGCCGATGTTCATGGCTCGTGGTTTCTACAATAGATGGCGGCAACAGTATTGGTAGTGAGTTCTCACCCACATGGCATCTGTGACTCGATCTAATGAATGCTTTAGCCTGGCTGCGGGGAAATTTTTTGCAATCTCAATGTAAGATAACGTTCATGTTTTCAAGCCGTTGCTGCCCCTTTCCTAACCCTCGTGTACAGTCCAAGTCCCCTTCAAAGGATGGTTTGACCGCGCTGGCAATATCTTCCATTCACCCGAGCCCGACTTCTGGAAGGATGCCACCGCCCTCGAAGGGAAGTTTAAGGAGTACGCTGACCGCCTAATCAAACAAGCCAAGACCAGCTACAAGGATGTCGCGCGTTCCTTCGATGATGTCAATCAACGTGTACAATATATTGTCGAAGCCAGTGCGGAGCTACGGAACAGCATAGCGCTCAAGGCGAGAGCGCAGGACTTCACCTTCGAGCACTTCTCCGAAGAGCTTAGTAAGCAACTCGGAGGCGCGCTGGAAGAGCTGAGGGAGGAGTTCCCGCCGACGAACCAGGCGCCGGGCCACGAACGGCGACGCGAGATGGTAGAGAGGGCGCTGGCGAAGGTCGAGGAGCGGATGCTGGCGGTTGCGAGGAAGTTTGGGCTGGATGAGGCTGATGTACACAAGTTCTTTGCGGCTGCCGGGCCGCACATCGTGGACGTCGTAACAACTACGGGTGAGCCCAAACGTCAGCATACTACTCTGGCTCGTAAAGATTAACGAGCTGGTCGCACTCAGGTGATATCGTTCAGCAGCACCCCGTCCTTGTAACCACCGTTCTTTCCGCGGTGGTTGGGCTGATCATTCCGGAGAGTCTGATCCTCCGCCCCATATTCAGTCTCTTCGGCTTTGGCCCATATGGGCCCGTCAAAGGTGAGAATCTGGTTATTCAAGTTTCATCGTGAAGTCACTCATATACACGCCCATACAGGCACTGCCGCAGCTGGGATCCAGCGCTGGCTCTATGGTGCGGCCGTTCCAGCTGGCAGCTGGTTCTCGATTCTGCAGCGAGTTGGAATGGTAGGTTCTTCGGGCTGGAAGTGGATTGGTGGTGTGGTTGGCGGTGTGATTGGCGCTACAGTTGGTCTTGGGAGTTCGCTGTCTCTCTGCGGACGGTGATGCTGCGCTGTAACAACGACGAATCATGTTTGTCTGTCTGAGAATAAGTCGATGTCTTATGTTTTGTTATCCATTAGGTTTGAGTGTCTAGCGATGCCCCTGGGCGCTATTTTATGTAATACAACATGTGCGGGAAGTCTTTGGCGTGTTTGGCGACCTGATTTCTATTACGGACAGAACCTTAGGCGCTTGTCACACTGGTTGATTTTTTCTTCGTCACAAGAGCTTTCTTTGCGCAGAGCCTTCCTCTTGCACGACATCAACCATGAAAGTTCTCGGCTTTATCATCGCTCCCTTGGCATTCATTGCTTTGCTATCTTCAGTATGCGAGACAAGGGCCTCGTCCCAGACTGCCGTGGTACAGCAGGAAGAACAAGCTCTCGATGGCCAAGGTGGGTATATGCGTACCTGACTCTTCTCAGCCATACGTCTGTTTACTGTATGCTTCTTTTGTTCAGAGTCTTCAAGCACTGTCGATGTGCCTGTCGTCTCTGGTGAGTGTAGCGTCATTCTCTTGATTCAGGATGGATTGAAGAACGCCGCTCAGCAGGGCCAAAACGCGACGGAGTTGAGGATCGTGGTGCGTACAGCAGGATATCGGCGTTACGAACTCATCGACTTATGCGTGAACGTACCTAGGATGGATTGACGACGTGGGGTCATTCTTTTCCGACGTAGTCCCAAAAGTCATCTGGGGAAAAGTGACTGCCGTCAGCGGCGACGTCGGAGATTTCTCCAAAAACAAACTTCAAGATATGGAGATGCAGTTCAAAGATGTCTCGCACCATGTAGCGGAACTGCAAGAACGAATGCAGCACGTCCTTGCCGCCAGTCAGAGGCTGCGAGGTGAGGTCTCGGCGAGGGCAACGCAACATGGTTTCACGATCGAGGATTTCTCTCAAGAGTTAGAAGGTCATTGGGTCACTGCGACAGAGGAGTTGAAGGGGATGTTCGACCCGCTGGACGAGGCACCTAGCCATGACGATCGTCTGAAGCTTGCCGAGAGTGTCTTCGACAAGGCCGGAGCGGGCTTGGTTGTAGTCGGAGCCAAGTTCGGAATCGCGGAGTCTGAGACAGGAGCGTTTTGTGATGCTGCGCGACCGCATGTTGTGCATATCGTGACGGTCATAGGTGAGTCGAACCTTGCTTCAGGCGAGACATGACATTCACGTTCGTTTCAGGAGATGTCCTAGAACAGCACCCGATCCTCTTGGAGGTACTTTTACCGTTGGTACTGGGCTGGATTATTGGAGAGGTGTGGATTTTGGGCTCTCTGCTAAGGCTCTTTGGCTTCGGTCCGGCAGGTCCTGTCAAAGGTGAGTTGTGTTACACGTAAGACCCTTAGTTTACGTTCGACATTGGATTTTCAGGGGGTGTTGCGGCTTGGATCCAGAGAGCACTCTTTAGGGGCACTGTCCCAGCTGGAGGCTGGTTTGCTTCTTTACAAAGGGCGGGGATGAAAGGTGTTGGGAAAGTCGGGTCCACCGTAGGTGGGGCAATCGTAGGAGCGGTAGCTGGCGCAGTGGCCGGCGCTGTGGCTGGATCCGAATCGAACAGCTCCCATGTTGGCTGAAGAAGTCAACGATGCCCGGCATGCTCACAAGAACTTGTATCATATACGTACACGCATTGTAACGGAAGTGCTGGAAAGGACAACGGAAACAAAATGTTTGCTGGACCAAATTGGTGTTACGCGGCACTGTCACGGAAGCAATACCCGCGTTGTCACTTGTTTCTAAACAGCGATGCCAGCAACGCGCACAACTCGAGGCCAACTCGAGGCTTTTTCTTTTCCTTTGTTCCTCCGGATCTACTCTGTTTGGCGTTGATCATGAAAGTCCTTTAGAGGCTTAGCGTCTAGCGACTTCATCGATAGCCCGTATGGTGGCGGTGTCAGTGCGGAACGCCTAATCCATGCGACGCGATGCTACAAATGTGGACCTTTGTAGGTCCTTGTGGGATTTTATGGCAATACAGCAGGCATACAGCTAGCCGCCCATTTCTTTGTTCCCCTTCACCCACTCCTTCCTCCCTTCTTCTCTCTCGGTGCGAACACTCACGCCGCTCCTAGGACTTACGGACACAGTTGACGACGCATGACTTTGCCGCTGCGCGTTTGGAGGGTTCTGGAGCGATGGATTCGGGTGTACTTGACCAAGGCACGTGCTTCGTTAGGAGTTCTGTTCGCGCTTCTGCGACGTCTATTCCAATTGGGAGCGCGTCGTCTCTTCTCGCGCTGCGAAAGAGACACGCATCAGTCCAGTCGACCTACGACGAGGACATTCTTCGCGGCCTCGTCTGTTCCACGGCTCCCCTCCCCCTCCGCCACCGACCCTCAAGACGCCCAGCCATACCTGCCAGATGGTGCACAGACCAACAGCCCTCAGCAACTATCGCCTGTGCTCCATCCGGTTACGCGTATCACGACACCTCCCCCCATCGACCGCCTCGACGCCACTCCCCTCTCGCGAGCACTTGGTTTTGATGTCGGCCATTCGTCTCGAGGCCCTGCCAGCGATCCCGGTCCACATGCCATCTCAAGTCAGGCAACCGACCCTGGTCATAGCACGGGTGTTTGCGATATGCATTGGTCCGCGCATGAAACCCTTGGTCTAGTACTGAAGTCGGATCGTCCGGCCGACTGGAAGAACCCTTCGGTCCAGTCTACGCAGCCGACGGACAAGTTCACGGTTAAAATCAAGTCTCTTTTCCCTACCTATGCGATGGACATCAATCGGTATAGTCGCCAGCCTACAGAGTACGTCTCCTTCGATTCAAGTGGGGTGCAGAATATTGAAGGGAGGTTGTAGAGACGAAGAGAAGCTGCCGGTAGATCCCATCGAACGTGAATCTATGTACATTATGGCTCCTCTCACCACGAACTATGACGAGTAGGTTGGATAATTTCTCGTTTGGCGTGACAATCTCACGTTGGAGTTTTCAGCAACCATGGTGAATGCATCGCTGCGGGTCTCGCAGGTTGGAAACGGGTAGTGCACCCCGAAGGAGCGTTGTACTGGTTTCATGAGAAGCAGGTACGTATTATCGGTATCTGACGAGGGTGTCTAATTCGGTGGTGGCACAGAGGGTTTTCACCGATGCCCCCATGGCGAATCCAGCTTTTCGAGAGGCTGCTACACAAAGCATCGCCCAACTTGGGGAGATGGTCAGCGTCGGCCAGTATCATGTTCCCGAAGATGCCGAGCTCGTGTTGGAGCTGCACAAACAGCGTTCAAAGGCAGACAATGGTGTGTCAGGAAGGCATAGCAGCCGGAAGAAGCCCACGTATCGATTCAGTGTTGGTTATTACTTTGTCACGCACAAAACTCGGCGCATATTCTGGCTCGAGGAGTACAATATAACGTCCCTGTTCGAGAACCTGAAAGGAGTCACGAACAAGGGCCATATGGGTATCTCGTTCTCTTTGTCTATCCGTTGCGATGTGTACTAAGAGATCCTCTCAGGTCTTGCTGTAGAACAACAGTACTGGTCAGCATCACAATCTCGAGATTTGGCGTTAGGCTCATAGGTGCTTCCTCCACAGGCAGCACTGCGAGTTCTTCCCCTATGCCAGGCCTGTTCGTCAGAACATCATCGACGAGCTGAGCGAGATCGTCTTCCACTACATGTCAGGTAAGCATTAATGCAATGTCCATTTATTGGGTCTTCTCCAACGAAACCGTGATGTAGAGATGATCACATCTGATACGTCGTTGACGCCGTTCAATGAAGATGAACTGTCTAAGGTTAAGGAGGTCGTCGATCATGCGCAACGTAAGCTGTTGTACCTTCTGGTCTCCCGGACGCTTTACTGACGTGAGCTGCAGAAGTCGAAGGCAAGCCATTTGATCATACGATATGTATAATTGGTGCGAAGCTTGTCTGCCTCGCTCAGACTATACGACTCACCCTATTCCAGCACGGCTCATGCGCACCTTGAGTGAGTGTCAACGCCGTCCAATGTCGACGTCCAGCCGCTGATTAGACCTGTAGTACGGAACCGTTTCTTCCACTTCCACGGTCAAACTGTCGCTCGTCTCAACTCCGATCAGCCTCTGTTCACGGACGAGGGAAAGAAAGCCGAGATGTCGAGGTTCACGCGCATATTCATGCTTCTCTTGTTTAACGCGCCAAACCCGCATCTCAAGCGGCTGCGCTCCGTTTGGATCGACAAGGTTGTGAATCAAGTCCCGTGGAAGAAGTTCGTCGACGAGCTGAACACCGAGTGGAAGGGCTATACTCTCTACGTGAGTCTTTCCCTCCTTGATCCCGTGGTTCTTGCCCGTAGCCTTGGTCGCTGATGCTCCGTGTGACAGTCTACGGTTCTCCTTACAGTCAATCTGTCTCTATTAGCACTATTCAACGTCATGCCTCAAACAAGCTTTTCCGACAATGGCGGGACGTACCAACAGACGGTAGCTGAGATTATGAGCTACGTGTCGACGGCATGGTCTGTCGGTTCGGTCGTGACTTCTCTGATCCTCGTGCGGCAAAATGAGACGAATTCGCGTCAATCAATTGACGAAGCTGTACGTCTTGGTCGAATATATAACGTCCCTTAATGCTCACGACTCTCGTGTCCTCAGGTGCAATTCCTGAACACCGTATCGACCAACAAGCATGGTATTGAGATGCTCGCGATCATCTATAGTCTGCCGTTCGGGTTTCTCTTATGGGGGTGAGCCATGTGCATCGTGTCCGACGGGTAGCATGACTGACATGGAACGTTTGTGTTTCACCGTAGACTGCTGTTTTTCTCCATGGCATTCCTTGCACTTGCCTTCCAGCACACGCTCACAGCGACACGTGTCGGTGTGGCAGTGGCGAGCTTGATCACGTTGGCTCTCGTTATCTGGCCGGTTGTCGTCGCGAAGGAGTTCCTTACCAAGAAGTTCTGGACAGAGTTGAGGAAGGAATTTGCGACAGCGTGGCAGGAGAAGGATGTCGTACAGTTCTTGGACATATTTGGTCTCCCAGTGTCTGAGGAAAAACGGGCACAGTCTAGAAAACAGCGCAAGTTGGGAAGGAATTCGCCGAGCAGATCGACCACCAGGACGGATACGTGCATGACTGCAGATGACGCTACGACGCTACAGTTGAGAAGACCGACGGCTCATGGGGTGCCGGCGGTTACGGGAGAGGAACCAGAGGCGCCATCACCCCAGAATCCAGAAATTTTGGCACGCGTCGGGTTAACGTCTACTGCGTTGGTCCTTGGCAACACTGAAGGCCCAATAGCATCATATCAATCGATGAACATTGGATCGAACGCTGCCGCAGGGACGACACCAGCATCTGCACGCGGTGGAGCAAGCTCCCCCGCAGACCCGCCAGCGAGGCAGCAGTCGGTGCTAAAGAGGGCGTCTACAGTGATCGGGGAGAGGGTGGAGGATTGGCGCACGAGACGCGAGAGAAAAATGAGTAAGAAGCATGGGCCGAAGCGATCTCGCTCGCGGACGCATGTGCCGTCAGGGGACGCGATGGGGCTTGGTAGCATGAGTGTTCGCGAACAGGCGGATGCACCATACGTGGGTGGACCTGGCGCCGAAACGAACGTCTGACTGGGTTTGAGGAGTTGATTGTGCGCCCAAGGACGCTTTTCTTGGATAGGGTTTTCACTTCGGATTTACCATACGCATGCCGTGATATTGTAGCATTTTATGCACTTACTTACATAGATTCGATATATTGTTTGATCACAAATTTCGTTTTCATTCACTCTAAAATTTTCGACCTTGTAATGTGTCTTTTGAGATTAGCCCCTGTGTATCACCAACAGGAGGTTACTCACGCTGTCACCTGCTATGAACGACGACATCTTGGCTTCCTTGTTTTCCTGTGTTCTTTTGTTCCTCATCCGTTCGTGCTGTCAGCCAGTGTCCGCTTCGGAGAAGAATGAGCCAATCATCTGGCGAATCCGTTGAACGATTGCAAAGAGCCGAGCGCTTGACCCATGCGACCGGAGGATGGAGTTGTGTAACGCTGTAGGTCCTTATGGGACCACATCACGCGTGCAGCTTGCCACCCGTTCCTTTGTTGCCCTAAACCAACCCCTCCGCTGTCCTTCCTTGCACTTTTTACGACGTTCGCGCCTACACCGGGACTTGTGCGTAGGATTGAGGGCTGATGGCGCTGCCAATACGAGTCTGGAGGGTCCTCGAGAGGTTGATTCGGATGTGGCTTGCCAAGGCACGTGTTTCGCTTAGAGCTCTGCTTGTAATTTTGCAGCGTCTGCTGGGAGCGCGTCGTTCTGTCTCGAATTTTGCAAGTAAAGCGCACCAGCCTGGTCAGCTCACGGCGAAGCCATTCCTCGCGGCTTCTATTGATCCCTGTTCCACCACCAGCGTTCAAGGTCCTCACGCTGTTTCGTCGGGAGTAGGCCACATCACTGGCAGCACTGGCCCACAGGGGTCGCTCTCGTCATCCTCTCAAGTCATCCAGCTGGCTCACGCCTCTCAGCCGGCGGCCCCTGGATTTGACGTCGCTCAAGGTCCAACCAACGGGCCCAATACTCCCCCATCCAATCCGGCGCAACGAGCCACCTGCTCCTCTCGGGCTAAGACTGTCCATACCCATTGGTCTTCGCATCCTCCTCATGGACTGGCTATGAAATCAGACTCCTGCCCGTCTGACTGGGTAACGCCCCTTGAACAACTTGAACCGGATCCATGCGTGGTCATCGATGATATCAAGGTGGATCCCTTCATTGCTACCCTCGTCGACCGGTATGGTCGAAAATCTATGAGGTACGTACGTCGCAGTCTCCACCTTGAGCGAAAGCTTGACTAGGTGCGATATAGAGACCGCGGTCAGAAAACTAGCAGGTATATGATCCAACCGGTTACACTCGACTTTCAAGAGTAGGGATGCCCATGCTTGTCCATTTCGTGGCCTCATATAACCTTGCGTAGCCAAAACGACCAGCTTGAGGCCTGTGCGAATGCAGGCTGGACTCGAGTGGTGCACCCTGAAGGAGCCGTATACTGGTTTTACCCGAAGAAGGTATGCTTTCCTCCGATACGAAACCCACGCGAGCTTATCCGCACAGAGGGTCTTTACAGACGCTCCATTGTGGAAAAGAAGGTATCTGCAGGCGGCAATGCTTACGATTGAGAAGATACAGGAGATGGCTCGACCATACGTAAATCAACTACCTGGCAATGCTGAACTCGTGCTAGAGCTTAGAGGGGCGGGGGCAGAATGCCGATGTGGTATTGGGTCCCAGAAGAAACACCGCCATTATAAATTCGAAGCGGAATACTACTTTGTATCCCACGAGAATCGTCGACTATTCTGGCTCCAAGCATATGACGCAAAGGAAGCCTTTGCCCGTGTAGAAGGCGTCACGCAGATGAGCCATATAGGTGGGCATTTGCTTTGTTTATGTTGTCGTGCGTGTTGACGTTCAATCGTAGGCCTTGCTTTGGAGCACGAGTACTGGTGAGTTTTGCCGCCCGTCGAATGCGCGGCGTCTAATGCAGTACATGTGTGTATGCAGGCAACACTGCGAGTGGTTCCCCTACCGGAGGCCGGTTTCCAAGCACATCATTTGCGAAGCAAAAGAAGTTATTCATCACTACATGTCAGGTAAGTTCTCTCAATGCGTTATTGCCCTTTGTTTCCTTCGCTGACGTGGGCGATTGCAGAACTGGTTACCTCTGATACATCGTTGACGCCGTTCAATACGGAGGAGCTCATGCAAATCCGAGAATCGGTTCAGTATACCGACGGTTCGTCTTATACGCAGGGGAAACAAGTTTGTTTTGCTGAACCTGGCAGCAGAGGTTGTAGGAGAAGTATTTGACCATTCGATCTGCATTCTATGTCAGTGATACTCAATCTTTCGGAACGTTCGCTTACGTCGAATCTTATATAGCTCGTGTTATGCGCACACTAAGTGAGCTGGATAGACTTAGAAGCCTTTGCAGATATCTAACATGGATTATTAGCGCGAAACCGCTTCTTTCACTTTCACGGTCAGCCTAACGCTCGACTGAACTCTGATCAGGTACTGTTCCAAAAGTATGGGAAGGAATCAGCCCTTTTCAAGTTCTTTATGATCTGTCTCTTTAACGCACCCCGTCCGCACCTCAAACGACTTCGGGCCGTCTGGATAGACAAAGTGGTCAACCAGGTACCCTGGAGAAAGTTCATCGACGGGCTTAATACCGAGTGGAGGGGATATACTCTCTACGTGAGTTTTCAAATCTTTGAGCAGGGTCATTGCATGCTATCAGCTGCTGATAATATGTCCGTAGTCTACGGTGCTCCTTACAGTCAACCTGTCTCTACTGGCACTATTCAACGTCATGCCTCAAAATGATCTTGCCAACGGAAAACACCCACAGACGGTCGCTGAGGTCATGAGCTACGTCTCGACCGCATGCTCTGTCGGCTCGGTCTTGACCTCCCTGATCCTCGTGCGGCAGAATGAGACCAAGTCGCGGGAGTCTATCGATGAGGCTGTGAGTCTGTTTGGTCCTATTTGACCTACAGCAATGATAACATGTCGAGTCAGGTGAGGTACTTGGAGACTGTATCGGAAAACAGTACAAAGTACGGGATCGAGATGCTTGCCATTATATACAGTCTTCCGTTTGGCTTTCTATTATGGGGGTAGGTTTTATACGCGACTATATCCCAGCGTTGACACTGACGTGTAATGATTGTACTGCAGCATACTCTTCTTTTCAATGGCGTTTCTCGCGCTAGCATTCCAGGAGACTCTCTTAGCTACACGGATCGGAACGGCTGTAGCGGCTGCGATCACGGTCGGACTGATCCTTTGGCCAGTCTTCATTGCGAGGGATATTGTTACGCTAGAGTGGTGGCTCGAGCTGGCTAGGATTCGTTCTCCCAACCGGAAGTCCGCCTCAAAGTCGGGCCCACCCACTACTCAAACAGCTAGCCTTACCTCTCCTGCTTCTCCGCATAACAGGGCGTCTTCCCCTGGCTCTGCTCCTCCGTCTGGCGCTACACCTCCAGGTACCGCTAATGCAGCTCCTCCGGCCGCGGCTCAGACGACCGTGACCGGGCCGGCGCCGCTCCCTAATGGCGCTGCAGCATCCCCGACAGCGACGTCCATCCCGTCGGAGAGCTTCTTTGGTCGGCTATATGGTGAGTGGAAGCAATGGAACGAAACGCGCCACAGGAGGCAGGATAAGCGGGAACGGCGTCGTAAGCCTCAGAGGCCAGCGCGACAACCTGGAATACCCCTTCTCCCTATGAACACACAGGCACCCAGCTCGAGTGTGTGAGGCACTGACGCGTACTCGAGGATCGAGGACACTTTTTGCATGCGAACTGAACTATGGATTTACGATACGCATTTCTTGATTGTAGTACATCCTGCATATATACGTATACCCTTCAATAGCGGCGACAGGCACGATCATGACATTCCCATCAATATAGATCTAACATTACAACATATTGAGACCTGAAGGTCGCTAGCCCGCTGCAGTCAGTACTACTAGTAGTAAACCGTATTTTAAAAGATTGATGATCCTTTGAGACGTACGAGCATAAAAGTATGTTACAATGTTTGTGAGAAGGCAAGAAACGGTACGAATGGATCCCACGAAAACGCTCGTAATAGACCAAGGCCCCGAGTGCACATGCGGTGCCTCGCATCAATTGCGGCCTTGCGACATCGGGCGTGCGCTGCCAGGAAACACACGTTTCCCCCCAACCATCACCATGAGTGCCCCAAGTTGCAAGCCGCACCAGTCACTCACCCCGCCGTATTGCTCTAACAATATCATAGAAATGCCCTCCTCAGACACATGTTCGGACTCCGAAGGCGGTACTCATACTCCCACATTCTTTGAAGGGCATACCGACACGGTCCGTGCGGTCGCTTACTCTCCTGATGGCACGCGGATTGCCTCGGGCTCTTACGATGACTCAATACGGATCTGGGACTCGCACACCGGCATGCAGATCGGAAAGCCTCTGGAAGGTCAACACTATAGTGCAGTCCGCACAGTCGCATTCTCTCCCGATGGACGAAGGATAGCAAGCAGCTCCCTCGACAACTCAGTTTGTATTTGGGATACCTCAATCCAAGAGACGGTCTTGGGTCCACTCAGAGGTCACACCGAATCTGTATTGTGGGTGGAGTACTCTCACAGCGGACAATATATTGCCAGTGCGGGTGACAGGTTCGTACGGCTATGGGACGCATACTCCGGAGAGTGTATACACGCTTTGGAACATCCTGCCAACGTTAGCAAGGCGCGATTCTCTCCCAGCAGCCATTGCATTGCATCGGCCTGTGACGACAAATTGATACGAGTCTGGAACGTGGCTTCACAAGCGCTTGCCTTCCCCCCTCTTGCAGCACACAAGTCGGAGGTATGGGCAGTGTCATATTCCCTAGACGGACGTTTGCTGGCTAGCGGCGGCCAGGACTGCACAATCTGTTTGTGGGACGCTGAGACGGGAAAATTACGCAACAGGCCGCTGAAGGGACACAAGCTTGGGGTCTCTGATCTCGCATTCACGTCCAACGGACAGATGATTATTAGTGTTTCACGCGACAGAACCGTACGCGCCTGGGATCCAGTGACAGGCGACTGCTTGTGGGGACCGATATTCAGCGCCGAGTACGTCGACAGAATATCGACATCTCCTACGGAGCTAGGGTTCGTTGTTAATAGAGGTTCCAGCATGTGTATACGAGAAACCGTGGCGGGAAAGCTTATTCTCCCTAAGGTAAGTAACCGAGTCCTTTTTCAGGATGTCAATAAACTCTTTATGTTCAGGGCCCAGAAACGACGCTCAGTAAAAGTCTGTATGTATATCTCACCCTGCCTGTACTAGATGGCCGTCTAATCATCCTTGCCCCACTCTCCCAGACTTATCACAACTGAATGGATCACGTCTTTAGCATGGCTCCCCGATGGCTCACACTTTGCAAGCGAAGGGAATCAATATACTATCAGATTTTGGAATGCGACGATGGGAGAAGAATCAGAGGATGTCTTCGCTCACCACACGGCTATCGTCACCTCTATCGAAATCTCTCCCGACGGCTCGAAAGTAGTCAGCAGCTCTGAGGATCGGACCATTTGTTTATGGAACACGGAGACCAAGAAACTTGCAATGGATCCACTCAAGGGCCACACTGACGGTGTCAGGGTTGTCAAGTTCACACCCGATGGCTCCCATATTGTCAGCGCCGGCAACGACTGTACTATACGTGTATGGGACGCTCGTACCGGCAGCTCCCTCCGGGTCATTGGAGGGCACGATTTCCCCATCCGTGCTCTCAGTGTATCTCCTGACGGATTGCAGGTGGCAACAGGGTCAGAAGACAATTTGGTGCGTGTTTGGGAGATTCACACAGGCTTTCTGATAGCGGGACCGTACGGTCACGATAACCATGTGCTGTCGGTTTGCTGGTCGCCAGACGGAACATGCATACTTAGTGGTGCTGGAGACTCCTCTGCACGAGTATGGCGCGTTCCTGAAGGAGTGCAACTGCTCAAGGTCGAGTGCGATGGACCAATTAGCTGCGTACAGTATGCACCCGATGGTCAAACGTTCTTGACTGCGTCATGCGACAAAATACTCCGCATCTGGGATACCAAAACTGGTCAGCTCCTCCGGGGTTTCGAGCACGAGAGCTGGGTAACTGTCGCCGCGTTCTCCCCGAATGGAACTCGCATTGCAAGCGGGACACGAGACGGATGCCTCAGAGTTTGGGAAACAGCGAGCGGAAAGCTACTCTTGGGCCAAGTACGTTTCGGGACCAGATCATATGGTTTCGTATGCTGATGTTGATAGGAAACGGAATATGAAGAAGAAGACAGCGGATCGGTTCATGAAGTAGAAAGACAGCTACGGCGGGAGGTAGGTTTCAGATCTTATTGCCAGTCCGTAGACATCAACAAATTGACTTATAGCGCCGGGGCCACGCGTCCGGGGATAGTTTTATGAATGTGGGTGATTCCGTCCTCTAGCATCGTCTTTCACGAACTGGTCCAACAGCTTCCTGCGATCATCCGAAGGCAAGCGTCTGCCCACAAGGAGACACATCGACCATACAATCGACATGGGCACTCCTCCCAACGCCATATAGCAACACGGCCGAAATCGCGTCCGGCGCGCGAAGGTCGCGGACTTACATCCACAGTCAGGAAGCTCCTTGGCATAGCCGATGGTAAACACGCCCAAGATCAGAGCGAGCGCCCCGAAGGCAATTCGTCTGGAAACACAAGAATGTTCAATTTACGTCGCAGTGTATCAGTTTATACTGCCCAGGCCAAACAGGTGCGTGTCCCTTGCTCCCGTCAATCGCGAAGCGTCTGAATCGGGTCGTCCAGCGTCTTGCTGTTGCTCCTGAGCCGGGAAGCAACGGGGATAGTGAGCACGACACAGAATCAGAGAGCGAGGAAGAAGGAAATGTCGCTATTGCTTCTGTGTCTGGGCGTGGGCAAGCAGAGCCTTCGCGTCCTGCCCGTTCGGGATCACCTTACCCTTTGGCGAATGCGCCATCCACTGAAGACGTCAATGCCTTTTGCTGTTTCTCTTCAAAGGCTAAGTAGGCAAGGGTAGTTCCTGGGAGATGAAGAAAATAGGTAGGCAATATTAACGGAATGAATAGGATATGACCGTTGCGACATACTGTACATGTGCCCGAATTGTACGAAAAGACACCCATCGCGTTGAGCCCGAATAATTTGAAACGGAGCGGTGGCCTCGTCGTACTCTTCGAAGAAAAGTCACAAATACACGCATATGCCCACGTTTGACAGGAGAAGCCCAACAGAGTAGCCCAAACGATAGCCTCCGTCGAAACGCTCAAGTCCCGTGGAAGTCAAGGTTCGATTTTGGGGGGAGGTGTTCAACAATGATGCATGATAAATACTGGGAGGGACTTCAGCCACAAGGATTAGGATTAAAACATATAGAGGAAGGTCATTGGCAGCTCATTCGTGACGGCTGCTACGTGCGCTATGCAAAAGCCGTTCAAACACAACACGAGCTGTTATTAGGAACACCCGAAGGGTGGAGGGGATGCCGGATGAGCTACGGAGGTAGGAGCAATGCTCCTTCATTTATATATTGCAGTATGAACTACATTCGGTAACTTGAAGAGGCTTGAGGCAAAATGACATGCTGTGTTATTCTTGACAGTGGCGCGTCGCCTCCCAGGGCGTGCGGAGGCCTAGGACCAGCCTAACACAAACAGGGGGAGGCAAAAGCAGATACGATCAAAAATTCGTCCACAATTCTCAAGATACGGGTCATCCCCACGCCCATCCGACCCACCTGTCTCGCCTACGCCAACGTACGCTGCGTGGAACTGCGCCGATACGGCCGTTTCGAGAACAACGCCTTGCCGCTCGAGAAAGTCTCTGCAGGCGCAACGACAGGCTGCCCCAGCCCGACTTCCGCCTTAGCACAGCCAGGGCTGGATACGAGTGGGCTGCGCTGGGGGGCTTCCGAGCCGGGTTCGGTGCGTGGTGCTTTGCGATGGCGTCTCGGAAACGGGAGCGATAGGTCTCTGCCGAGGAAGACCGGCCACAGGACCAGTGTGAGCGTGATCGTGCCGCATACGCCGACGGTCCAGCGCGTCGCTGGACCAGTCTCTTGGTATGCGAGTGCGCCGAATGCGGCGGCGAAGATGATGAGCCTGTAAAATAACAGAGTGTGGTGCGCTTGAGTACGGAATGTGGATGCGGATGGGGAGGAGAGGACGGGCTTACCCCCACATGAGCAGGCTGTAGGGCAGGCTGTAAACGATAGCGAGCATCTCGATGCCGAGGGGGTTTTCTGAAATCTTGCCGAGATAGGCTATCTGCGGGTGTTGTCAGTACACATGGGGAGATAGAGCGACATGCGGGGTGTGAAGGTGCACGTACGACATTGTCGACGGACTGGCGGGACTTGGTGCGGTTCTGCCTGACGAGCACGAGGCCGAGGACGATCGAGCCCGTGCTCGCGATCGTCGACGCGTAGCTTAGTATCTCGGACACGGTTTGAGGGTGTGTAGGTGGCGGTGTCTGTAGTTGATCGTTAGCGTAGGCGCCGCTCGTGATGTTAAGCTGGAGCTCTGTTTGAGGCATCACGTTGAAGAGCGCCAGGAACGAGATGTTGGCTGTCAGAAGCACCGTTGACTGTCCTTGCCTCAGCGTGACAATATGGCCATAGCTTTGAGAGTCAGACGCACGTAGAGTGTATAGCTCTTCCATTCTTGGTTGAGATCGTTGATGAACTTCATCCACGGAACGTAGGACACGACCGAGTCGACCCATATCTTGCGCAGCTGCTCCCAGTGCATAGACGGCGCGTTGAACAGGAGCGGGGTGAAGACGCGTATCAGCATCGACTTGTTTCGGATCGTCTTTTTGTCTCTGTACACGGCTTGGTCAGAGTCGAGCCGGGCGCCGGGTTGGCCATAGAAGTTGAAGAAGCGGTTCCGTGCTGATGCGTCTGGTTTTAGGAGTAGACTTCGCGGAAGTAGCAGATGAGCTTACTGAATAATCGCATGAAACGTGCTGAGATCGTTGGGTGTTTAGCTCGCTGAAATGTACGAGGTTGATTCAGTGAACGCACCGATGATGCAGATGGAGGCAGAGCAGTCCAGTCCTTCTGGGGGCACCTCTGATTCTCTTTATTAACTTCTTCAAAAGGTATTGTAGGTTAGCTAACCTTCTGAGGCTATAACAATATCTCTCGTTTGAATGAGCTCTTCATTAGAGAACGGCGACAATGACGTCTCCGAAGTCACCATCTCTGCCATTTCAAGGTTAGCCTGATTTCCGAGACATTGACGCAGAAAGGCATGGGAACAAGACTCACCGGAGATAGCATGGTTAATCATACCCTTCAGCTCATATGTAACAGACGGGACAATTGGCCTATGTGCCGGGAAATACTCGCAGTGCTGCCTGGCGACAGACCGTTAGCACCTTTGTTCGTGTAAGCGCACACCAAAATCGCTTACCAGTACTGTGACTCCAAGGCCAGGGCTGATATGGTGATCAGCCGACGTCATATCACAGGGTAAAACACCTCACCAATGTGGCTCTTTCGAGTGATATCTGTGACATTCTCGCACAAGGGCGAGATGTCGACCGGATCGAGCCAGAACAGGCAGCGGGCTGTGTGATCCACGAAGTAGTAGCCGCATTTAAACTCGGACCTCTTGACGGAGTTGGGGTCGGTTGGGGTCGGTTGATGGTGATGGTGATGGTGATGGTGGTCGTGGTCGTGTTGCTCTTTGTCGAGCTCTAGGACGAGCTCAACGTCTGCGGGAAGCTCGATATGTTGTTCGTCGATCTTTTGCTTTAGCTGAGATATGGCCAGGTCCGCAGCCCTCAGAAAGGCGGGGTGTTGTTCGAGGCCGTCAGCCCATGCTCTCTGGACGACGATCAATCTGGAAGACGCCACTGTACGTTTGAAGAATGCATACCAGTTGTCTGTGAAAGAAGTATCGTGCGCCCTCGGGGTGCACTCTGGGAACCCATCCCGCAGCACAGCACGCTCGATAGTTCGGGTCTTCGTCGCTAGACGTAGGCGTTAGCAGCAAATCCGGAGACCGTAGATGATCTTGAAGCTCACTCATCGAAAGTCCTCTCGTTTGGCTGTATATACCGCGCAACCGGCTGCGCGGTCTTTGCCCTCGTGCTCCGATCGTAGCGCTGGAGCTCGGTCGGAAACGCTGGCCCGAGGCGGCGCAGGACGACATCGCGCCTCCGCGTTCTGTCGTCCTCGAACGGCGCACCGAGGTCTCCGTGCCAATCGGGGGCGGTCAGATTGCCGCATTTCATCGGCAGCCCACCGGGGCGGCGGGGCTTGCAGACGTCGGGGGGCAGATGCGGCAGTGGGTCTGTGCTGGGCGCGGCGGTGGATGTGGCGACCTCCAGTGTACGGGAGCGGTCGCTGTGGCTCTGGGTTGTGCTCGGTGGGGCGCCGTCTGTTGGTTGGTCCGTGGATCGGTATGCAGCAGGGGGGAATACATACCTTCAAGGGTGCTGCAAGGACCGGATGATTTCTCTGATTCACTGTGAGCGTGAAGCGACGAAGAGGCGACTGAAGGTCTGGGAGATGCGTAGTAACGCAAACTGGGAGAATCTTCTGGTATCACGTTGGGGTCCAAATATTGCTGCGGTTTCGTCGTCGGTGGTGCATCGTCTGACATGGCAGAGCAAGCGGGGGAGCAGCTTGGCCGAGGATTTGACAGCTGGAGCCCAAGCAGAACCTAGGAACGCGAGTGTCGCTCAAGGGGAAGTCTGAGGGTGCAATATGGAGTAGATAAAGGCAGAGAGAGGACGAGCGTCAAACGAGGGAGACATGCACTAGTACAGCAACTGTGAGTGAGGGACGCCGAGGTGATTGAATGCGGTCCGGTGTTCCAACTTGAAGTATCCACAGGCCAGTGCCATCAAGGGCGCGTTGCGCAGACAGTCAATAGGCGCTCGTTGTCTGTGCAGACGCCATCCTGTATTGCCTGTGCAAGTGGTGGCTTTTGCCATGTTTGAGGCCCCAAAGCATGTTGCATGGAAACAGAAGACGCGTTCGAACTCTGAGAATGCGTTCAATGCGAAAGTCGCGGCGGCGTGTTACACTATGTTCTGAGCGACACACAGCCCGCGGCCTCCGAGAGCCCCTATTAACGCTTACGCCCCCGATGATCAGTGTGGATTCAAGGGTTGATTCACTGTAAGTGTGGGTGCCACCCCAGAAATCCGCCATGAACGTGTCCAAGACTCCAAGTACATAAGTAGATATATGTTATTTTACATGAAAGAAGCAAGGATGCTAGATCGAGTCCAAAACCAGATATCACACCGATACGTCTATGCTCAACCAAACCCAGGCTAGACCACCTCAACCGGGCTCGCCTCGCCCATCCTGACCCACAGACCATCCTATACAGCGTTTATACGCTATATCAGCCTGTGCACGACACACACACGGCAAAGAAACCCAAGCACCACGCACCTTCGCGTACATCGTCAGATGGCTCTTGATCACCACCTTCTCCAGCGCCTGCCGCCCCTCGGCCTTAGCCCACTCCGGCGGGGGCAGCGTCTGCACGTCCTCGGCGAGCGCGACGCTCGAGAACATCTGCAGCAGGCGCACGAGGAAGAAGGATGTTTCGTTGTATGCGAACTGCTGGCCGAGGCAGATGCGCGGGCCGGCGTTGAAGGGGACGAAGATGAACGGGTTGGGCGTTAGGTATTTGTGTAGGCGCGAGTCGAGGAAGCGGTCGGGGTCGAAGAGGTCGGCTGTGTGTTGGGTGTGGGGTTATTTGGGATGTTAGATGCGGGGAGGTGCTCACCATCAGGGCCCCAGAGGTCCTTTCTGCGGTGCATCAGGAAGACGGAGTAAGGTGTGCTTGCGGGACGTGAGCAAGCGGCATGTATGAATGACGGAGAATGGTGTACCGGGTGTTGGGAGGAACATAGATTGGAGGTCTGCCGTTGACGCCAGGCCATACGGTTGCTTCTGTGCTGGTTCTGATGTTACCAGGGCTTTGGATGGCCGGTTGCACGTCAGTCGAGAGGAGATAAAATGGAGAGGCTATGAGCTTACACAGGAGGATACAGGCGCAGGACCTCTGCAACAGTAGTTAGCAACGAATGTTACTGCGTACGGGACGGCGTACCGTTGATGAAAGCACGCATGTACTTCATGTCACGCATGTCGTCATACGACGGGCGACGAGACGAGCCGACCTTGGTGAGAATCTCCTCACGAAGGCGGCGCAGGACATCTGGGTGCTGAGAGAGCATGTAGACTGCCATGGTGAGCGTGCAGGCGGTCTATACGTTGTCTGTCAGGATGAATGCATACCGTTCCAAATAGAGTGCGTACAGTGTCTCTTCCGGCGATCATGATGTTCAGGATCTCGTCACGGATGATTTTAGGATCTGTAATGACAAGCTCACAAGCTCATGATATCATCATAATCAACGTATGACAATTCTCACCTTCAGTATAGTTCACCAGATGCTCGAGCAACGTCTCCCCCTCCTGAACCTCGCCCTTCTCGGCCCCCTGATCCAGCCCCTTCTCGCGCGCCTCCCGCTTCCGCGCGAGCGCGTCTTCAAGGATCGGATCAATGAACCCATGGCACACCTTCATGTGCTCCTTCACATCGTCCTTCCAGAACTCGCGCAGCCGCCACGCACCGCCCCAGATCCCCCGCTGCGCAGCCGCGCTCTGCGCCTCGGCGAACGCGTGTGCGAATCTGTTCGCGGGGTGGTCGTCCGCGGCGGCGGACGCAGCCGAGCCGGAGACAGAGGGTGGGTAGACGAGGCCGGCGGAGAGCGAGCAGACGTCTTTGCCGAAGAGGAACTCGGTCGCGGAGTCGAGCGTGAAGCGGGATACCATGTCCTGGAAGTCGACTGGGTGGCCCTCGCGCAGGCGGGTGCGGGTTTGGCTGAGGCCGTCTTCGGCATGCTTGTCGAAGACGTCGAAGTGCGAGATGCGGTCTTTGCTGAAGAAGGGGCGGGTCATCGAGCGGTGGAATCTGGCGGGAAACGCTTTTGTTAAGCAAAATATAGAATAGGGATGCGTTGAGGTTATGTATTATGCGTACTTCCAGATGTCGCCTGTGGTGATGTGCGGTCGGTGAGCGCTCTGCGGCTGTGGTTCTCGACGTACCGTCCGAGTTGAAGACACCCAGTCCCAAAAGCGAGCTGGTTTGGTCAAAGAAGAATGGGCCTAGGATAATCAGTTTGTCGGTTCAGCGAACACGGCCGGATTAATGTATACACACCTTTGTGGAAAGAGTTGAACTGCGTGGCTAAGATGGCCTACCAAGAGGTGAGTTGTGCATTATTACCCTAGTGGCCGAAGCTCGTGTCACCTTGATGTAGGCGGGTTCGGTTGTGATCAACTATCCTCGGGTCAGAGCGCACGTCCAGCGAGAGCATCTCAAAAACGACTCACTCGGTTTTCCCAAAGTAGCCTCATGTTGATGGTAGGGCCATATTCCCTGGTCAGATTCGCAAAGATCTCCGCTGTTTACGAGTGAGCGCCTGTGTTAGCCGCCCCGCACAAACGTTCTCGGGCAGCTTACCTTGATAGCCATTCTTAAACCGACGATTGGCCAGGAGAAGCCTGTCGATCCCTCCGGGCAGCTTGTCCGGTGGCGTAGGCGGGAACACTGCGCCTCTCGCAGCGGCATCGCGCTTGATGCGCCAGTCCGAGTAGAGAACGTTGGCCGTGAACAAGACCGGGAGAGCCGAGGTGCAGATGATGACGTTCAGCCACGTGGGGAGGTTCACGTCATTGTAGGTTCGGAGGGCGCGTAGGGCGCTGTATGCGAGCGCCGGGGCGAACAGGAGCCGGGGCAGGTTCAGGGCGATCCATACGAAGCCTGGGGGGATTGACCAGGACATGCCAGCGGGGTATGTCGGGGGTTGCGTTGGAGAGGCGGGTGGGAGGAGATGCCGGTGGGTTCGTAGGCTCGTCCAGTACGGCGACCGAATGACCGGAATATATAGCGGAGGCATGTTCGGAGAGTCCGGTGGGGATTCACATGTCCATGCGAGGCACGCATCACCGGTGTGGGGATATGAAATGGGTTTATTGGTTCCAGACACCGACACTCACCGACGTCTTTGGGGAAGGAGCGTGCTACGGCTGGCTGCGGGTTGCGCCCATGATACGGCCTACATCGTGTCTGGATTCAGCTCGTCCTCGGTACTTCAGATTTGTTGCTAATTGGCTTGCCTGGTGAGACTTTGTTAGACAAGGTTCAAGTCAAAGGTGAAGCACTTCTAGGCCAGGGAAAATTTGGCCTATCTAAGTTGCCCATAGCTTCGGTGTACCACACAGCTTGAGACGATGCCCGACCGATGCCCGGCGCCTTCTGACCGTAACCGAAAGCCGGGGAACTCCGTGAGGAACTCACTGGGAAGCGCAGCCAATTTCGGTGCCGGCAGTGGCGGCTGTGCCATACTCGATCCTCCGGCGAGCGCTGGCGCTGCATGGATTGGCAAGGGATCGAAGCAAAAGATGTTTGCCGGATGCTTCAATTTAATGTGCGCTTTGCAGCCACATGGTAGCCATTGAAATATTCATATTGGATGACAGTCAATGGATTAATCCAAAGTCGAGATTGCGCCTGTGGCAGTGATGGGTCTCGACGTCGGCTCCGGGTTTGCATCTCAAGTACTAGCTACATACATAACATCCAGCTGGCTGCTGTTACGAGAGGTTCTCGACTTTGTTTTATTTCTCGTGGCTTGGAAAAGCGCACACGGTTAGCACAACATAAATTAACTCCGTACAATACCAAAAAAAGACTGAGGGTAACGCAGTCGACTAAACACGCTTGGTTCTAGACCACCTCCACCGGGTTCGCCTCGCCCATCCTCACCCAAAGTCCGTCCTATCAAACACATCAAATCGAGTCAGCGCCTCCCCAAAGCCCAAAGCACAACCCCCACACACCTTCACATACATTGTCAAATGGCTTTGAATCACCACCTTCTCCATCGCCTGGCGCCCCCCGGCCGCGGCCCACTCCGGCGGGGGCATCGTCTGCACGTCCTCTGCGAGCGCGATGCTCGAGAACATCTGTAGGAGCCGCACGAGGAAGAAGGATGTTTCGTTGTATGCGAACTGCTGGCCGAGGCAGATGCGCGGGCCGGCGTTGAAGGGGACGAAGATGAAGGGGTTGGGCGTTAGGTATTTGTGTAGGCGGGAGTCGAGGAATCGGTCGGGGTCGAAGAGGTCGGCTGTGTGTTGAGTGGTGGTGAGGTGGGGTAGAGTGGAGGGGGTAGGTGTGCTTACCGTCTGGGCCCCAGAGGTCCTTTCGGCGCTGCATGAGGAACACGGAGTAGGGTGTCCTATTGCGGAGTAAGTATCGACTACGAAGGAGCAAGAGGCGAACGACGTACCGAGTATTAGCAGGCACGTAGACGGGAGGGCCACCGTTCAAACCAGGCCATACAGCGGGTTCTGTGCTCGTTCTGGTGTTGTTGGGCCTTTGACACACCGAAGATCATTAGATAGAAGAAAACCATGGTGAAGCTATGGGCTTACACGGGAGGATAGAGACGCAAGACCTCTGAAAATACTGTAAGCAATAGCGTAGTATGTGGCGAGACTAAACCACGCACCGTTGATGAAAGCGCGCATGTACTTCATGTCGCGCATGTCGTCGTATGATGGGCGGCGCGAGGCGCCTACCTTGGTGAGGACCTCCTCGCGGAGACGGCGGAGGACGTCAGGGTGCTGCGACAGCATGTACACCGACATAGTCAACGAGCAAGCAGTCTTTATGTCATGAAGATCAGTAAAACACTATATGGCATCGAATAACAACGTACTGTATCTCTGCCAGCGATCATGATGTTCAGAATCTCGTCACGGATCACCGTCTGGTCTATACCCCGAACGTTAGCTGCTGCTGGAACCGCACAAGGACACAACAAGCTCACCTTCAGTACAATTGACGAGGTGCTCGAGCAACGTCTCCCCCTCCTCGGCATCAACTTTCTCGCCAGATTGACCACGCGTCTCGCGTTTCCTCGCGAGCGCCTCCTCGAGGATCGGATCGATGAACGCGCGGCACACCTTCATCTGTTCCTTCACCTCGTCTCGCCAGAACTCGCGCAGGCGCCACGTGCTCCCGAAAAGACCTCTCTTCGAGGACAGCTTCTGCGCCTCGACGAAAGCGTGTGCGAACTTGTTTGCGGGGTGTTCGTCCGCGGCGGACGCAGCCGAGCCGGAGACAGAAGAGGGCGGGTAGACGAGGCCGGCGGAGAGCGAGCAGACGTCCTTGCCGAAAAGGAACTCGGTTGCGGAGTCGAGTGTGAAGCGGGAGACCATGTCTTGGAAATCGACAGGGTGGCCCTCGCGCAGGCGGGTGCGGGTTTGGTTGAGGCCGTCTTCGGCGTGCTTGTCGAAGACGTCGAAGTGACCGATGCGGTCTTTGCTGAAGAAGGGGCGGGTCATGGAGCGGTGGAACCTGGAGAGATGCCGGGATGGTTAGCGTCAGCACGGCGTGCGGAAGGGTTTAAACTACACACTTCCAGATATCACCTAAGAAGGTGGTCGTTAGTCGCTGTAGGGGAATCGAAATACGTAGCAAGAATTGGACGTACCATCAGCGTTGAATACTCCGACTCCCAGAAGTGAGCTGTTCGTATCGCGGAAGAATGGACCTACCATGGTTGCAATGTTAGCGAAAGACAACGTTAGTCATGTATGACCAACCTTTAGCAAAGGAGGTGAACTGGGTGGCTAGTATAGCCTAATTTCGTACAGCTCGATTCAATAGCCAGCATAAACTATGGTTGATACACACACCTTGATGTAAGCAGGCTCCGTCGTGACAATCTGTATACAAATGAGTATTCACGAATATCAAGGTCCGGCAACGACTCACTCTATTCTCCCAGAGTAACCTCATATTGACAGTAGGACCATAGGCCCTCGTTATCTTTCCAATGGCATCCGCTACCCACAAATTAGTAAACACAAACCCCGAAAAGAGCGCACCACAAGCTCACCGACATAGTTGGCCGTGACCCTGCGGCTGGCCTGCAGCAGCCTCTCAATCCCTCCTGGAAGCTTGGTCGGCGGCGCGGGCGGGAGCACTGCGCCCCTCGCGGCGGCGTCCCGCGCGATGCGCCAGTCCGAGTAGAGCACGTTGAGGGTGAACACGACAGGGAGGGAGCCGATGCAGATGATGACGTTGAGCCATGTGGGGAGGTGCACGGCGCTGTGCGTGCGCAGGACGCGGAGCGCGCCGTATGCGAGTGTCGGCGCGAGTAGCAGCCGGGGGAGGTTGAGTGCGATCCATACGAAGCCTGGGGGGATGGACCAAGACATGATGAATGACAGGATATGTCGGGGGGATGGGGAGTTCTGTCGATCCGGATGTCAGGCCTGTGGGTATATATACGACGGTGCGGAGGTGCGCTCGGTCCTGTAGATCATTGGAGGATTGGAGGAGGCCGTAGACTGGTATGCGCTCGCCCTAGGCCTTCGTGATCCATCTCACGCACCCAGCCGTGGGATGTTCTCCAGAGAGGTCATTGGCTGGCTTGATGAGATGAACTCGGTGAAAGCGCAGCTGCCCGAGACAAGGTCGAGCGAGGTTGTAGTGCATATATGTTCGGGGGACGTCTTCGGCGCGTCTGTGGCCATAAATGGAGCTATCTCGCTGCTTCGGTGGCTTTTATCGGTCATCGTCGGTGAGTAAAGACTTGGTCAGGGGCAAGTCCTAGATTATCACAGAGCTAAGTTGAGGAGTTCCCACGAGCGCGACTCGAAGTTGTAACGTCTACCAGACACTCAACCACTCTTCTTGTTGAAGCATATTTCTTGCCATGGAGGCTATAATGACGCCGAAAGAATGAAGAGACAGTTGGGTTGCCAATGGCGAATAAAGTTCACCATTTTTGATGTCCGACTTAAAAGTTTTGAGTAACTGAGAAGCACATGAATTACACGCAACGCAACACTACATATGAGAGCATAATTCTCCACTACATTGCCACGATATCTACGGCTACATCAAACAGTCAAGCGCTAGAACGCTCAGAAAGAGACATAAAGTCCCTTCCGCGTCGAGACACGAAGTCCCTAAAGGAGAACATGCGAAGTCCCGACGAACAGCTGAGGCACGAGGCCTCAGATGATAGAGACCGAAGTCCCGAAAGAAGAAAGGACCGAAGTCCCCTCGCGGTGCGAAAAATTTGGGGTAAATGTACCCGATAGAGGTGGCGCGTGAAGCACCGAGCCCTCTTGCTTAGCAGAGGCAGGATGGTAGTCCGCACCAACGCTGAAGCATTCTCGAGCCTGTGAAGGCACCGAGTCCGACGACGTGAAGCCGACGATCGATAATGCAAGAATCTCCGGAGCGGGGCGCCGGAAGAGCGCGTCGCCAGAAGGAGTCGCCAGAGTAAGTCGACGAGAAAGAGCCAATCCGGAGTCGAGGAGACCGTGATGCTTCGGGCGCTGAGGGTCCCAAAGCCGTGGTGGCGATGCCTCGCTTGGCCACCAACATCGAAGTTGAGAGGTGGTAGTCGAGGCCCGTCGGGGGGCTCCGCGTCGGCAGCGAGGAGTTATCGACACCGAACAAGAGCTCAAAGAGTACATTGTTGTCGTAAGCAGCGCCTCTCGCAGGCTTTTGTGCTGCCGATCCTGGAGAGCGACGCGTCAGATGAGTGGGCGCAGGTAAAAAGAAAAACAAACTCACCAAGATGCGAAGGAGGTTATCAGGCAAGTCAAGCAGTAAGAGGGCTGCAAAGCGACGAGTCAGGAATGGAGACCGAAACAAGCAGTAAGACGTACCATTTGTCGTTCCGAGACGCGGGGCCAACCGGCGAGTGGCGGTTAGGTCGTCAGAGATGGTGGTAGTCGCCAAGAAGTATCCGCGCCGGTCGCAGCGTCGGTCAGCCCGCGGCCCAACAAGCCACACTATCCACGGTCTTGGAAACGTGGGCTTCATGCAACCCATCCAGCACTCACGAGCATTTTTCCGAGCACCAGTCAATGCAAGCGTGTGGTGATCCACGCTCGCTGCAGAGACCTGCCGACGACGCGACGGGCTAAGAGAAAAGCTGAGCCATAGAGAACTTGGAGTTTCGGAGACGAGGGAGTGAGGGAGAGAAGCTGAGGGAGCTGAGGGAAGTCGGCGGAGGATGGGCTGCCTTTTATCCTTGTTTCGACTCGGGCCTCGCGGCGGTTGTTGAATTCTTGTGGATTTGCTGCTATTTGTAGCGATGATTCCACATCGGGGTGGATCGGCAAGTCGCTTCGCATCTCCTTGTTCCGCTGTTCACGACCCTCAGCCTGCAGCTCCGCAACCTGACCGTTTTCTTGTGTCTTCCCCCTGCCAGCCAATGAGAACGGGATCCGATAGCGGGAGATGAACGACCCTGAACACAGCAAGAGTTTTACTGTCAGGCCTGTCGTCGCGTAACAGTAGGAATTCAATTACGAACAAAAGAGTATTCGTCGGCCGCCGCGCCAGCCCACGAAATTTTCCTTTTACAAGACGCTTCCAAACCCTTGGTAATCGGTAGTCGAAGGATAATACGGCATGCGTCAGGTCCTGTGGCCTCTTTTGTGGATCCGAGACGTCGAGCATTTTCATGGCCAGTTGGATATGTCCTGGGGCGTTGCAGTGCTGTCGTGCAGCACACACTCAAACCCTGAGGGCCTGCTGTGAAGACACTGACTTCGATATAAGATCAGAGGGGAGGTAATCAACACCCCCACGAATTGCACGGTGCACGGTGCGCTATGGCTTGCGAGCGGAAGCCTCCACAACACGAGGAGCGTCATCGGGTTCTTGGATCGCGCGTAATTAAATGGGCCCAAAAGCGATTCAGCTCCGTAGAAAATGGGATAACACGCGCCAGATATATGGGCAGACCTGAGTGACAGCACGCCTCGAGGCGCCAGGGGGTGCCTTGCATGACCTTCTCCTGAGTTGGCACGCCTCCGAGAACGCGGACAATCCAGCGAGGTACGGGAGAGAGTGGAACGGCGGTTGGACGCTTGGCCTGGGCGTGACACGTTCTATTTTCCTTCTGCGGTATGCAATACGTCGTGAGCTCTGTCCAAGTGCTAGCTTAAAATGTGTTTGAGCACCAGTGTCGCCACCGTAGAGAATAAAGTATCGATGCTGTTGTAACACCAGCATGGACAGTGACAGGTAGCCCATTAAGTAGTATACGGAATAAGTGGTCTAAGAAGAGTTATATTTTGATATTACTTATATCAGATATATGATGCAGCATTAGTTCCTTGCCATCGCACGCAAAATCAACCTCGTCATATTCAGAGCCCTCAGCGACGCTCGTTTCCAGGAAGCGGCGCCGCCCAATACGCGTAAGTATTATGCGAGAGCGAAGATAGGGTCTCCGAGTGATGTACGGGCTTGGGGAAGTCGGGGAGCACCACGGGCTCCGGGGTGGAGAAGCCGGACGACATCGAGAACTTTTCGTCTCTATCTGAGAATGAGCTGTCAACCTGCAGATAACGCAGCATCGAATACGTCAGCGTCAATGAACTCGGTGTGGCCATCCCTTAGCGGATCGAATCCGCTCAGACTCACCTGACGATTCGCGTCTGAATCACGACCCGGCGCAGCACCGGACCGTCTCGCGGTCCACCGCGTCCAGAACGCTAGTGGATGCGCCTTTGTTTCCTGTGCAGCTGAAACCGTTCAGGCGTTAGATTGCAGGAAAAAGAAACACGCGACACACCGCTCTCAGCCGCCTCATCGCGGCACAACTCTGGCGTCGCCAGCCCCTTCAGCGTCACCTTATGCTCAAACTCTTCTGCCCCCTCCCCACCGTGACCATGGGACAGAGGCGCCGCAGACCGCCGAGCCGGCGTCCTGCACCCAAAGTACACAATAGCGAGCACAGCGAGCCCGCCGAATATCCCGAGCAGGGCGTACGGCAGTACGGTGTTCTGCGAGACAGTGTACGGCGACGGCGGTGTTCGCGCGGTGTGCCGTGGTGCGCCCGGGATGTCGTAGTGCGGGTGCGCGACGGGGTGCGCGGGCGGCGTCGGTGCTGGTCCGGGGGTCGCGGGGATGACGCGCGGGTGGGGTGTGGGGAGGGTGTGTGGGGTGGATGGGGCGGGGGTGAAGTGGGAGGGGTGCGGGTACGTTGAGGGGAGGGATGCGTAGGACGCGGGGGGCGCGCGAGGGGAGATGGTGAGGAGGGGAGACATTGGATATGGAGTGGTGCTGTTAGTGCTTACGGAGGAGGGGACGGGATGTGAGTGATTAGTGGGTGAGGCTGGCGGAAGGGCTGGTGGCGCTCCTTCTTATAGACGATAGTGTGAGGACGAGACATCCAGTTAGAGTTGTAACGGTCAGTGTACTGAGAACCTGACAACCAATCTAAATCAACGTTGCCGTCAGTCCGAATTCAAACTTTCAGAAAATCGACGTGACCCGCCTGCCTGAGGTTGTGCAACGGATCTGCATGGCAGAATTGCACAACTCCCATTAGCAAAACGCGAAGAGACTACAGAGCCAATCCAGCGAGCCACCGAGATAAACGTTCAAGGACGAACACAAAATCAAGAAAGAACGCAGCAGCGATAGATTGCTACAGATCGGAGACGAGCACACGGCCATAACCTCTTTGAACACAAGGCCAAGAAAAAAACGCGAGCTACAGTATCAAGCTTAGCTAGCGACGATACACAGGCAGCGGTGTCGTAACCTCGCCCGCCAATCCGCCGACGCCCGGAGACTGAGCATCAACGCCGCCGCTCTCTGCGCTCTGGTGTCGGCTGCTGATACGGGGCGGCAGCGGCGTGTAGACGTCGCCCGGCCGTATCCTCTTAGTGTCGCCGTAGTGGTACGCGTTCGCCTGTTGATGATAGTCGGGCGCGGGGGAGTACGGGGGGTTGGAGAGCGGAGACTTGGTGTACGCCGTGGTGGGGAGCATGGGCAGGGACTCGAAGGTGCTGCTCTTGGGGGATTTGTCGCCGGCGAGCGTCTTTTCGGACGCGAGGCTCTGTGGGCGTTCAAAAGATTATCGTGTGAGTTGGGTGGGTGGTTCGGAGTGAATTATTATGGTCGGGATTGAAATGCGCACGTGGATGTCTGCTTGCCGCTCCTTCCACCCCGGCTTTGGCGTTACACCCGCGCCGCCCGCTGGGTTATGTTCGTATGTATATTATGATACATTGTGCACGATCAGCGCTTTGGCTTTCATTTTATTTTTTACAAAGTAGTGAAGGCTCACCGGAGTACACGTACGGCGGCGTCATGTTCTCGAACGTGACCGCGTCCTGCTGCCGCCCGAGGCGCTGGCGGCAGATGTGGCACGCCGTCGCGAACGCGATGACAAAAATGGCGACGACGAAGAGGAGCGGGAGGAGCCCGTCGGTGACAACGTAGTATGAGGGCGGGGTGGGTGTATGCGTGTGCGTGTGCCAGGGATGGTGGCGGGTGTGGGTTGGAAGGTGGTGGGATAGGGGCGTGCTGCCAGGGATAGGGGCCGACGATGAAAGGAGATGCGCCATTTCCAAGGTCCAAAGTAAAAGAGTGTGGTCGTAGAAAGAACGTGGTGGTAGGCTGAAGGACGTTGGAAGGCGGTGGTGAAGGTGGGGGGTGGAGAGAAGAAGAGGAGCGAGGTTGAACGCAGAAGATATACGACACCGCCTGGCGGCTGACAGATTTACTACCGCGCTGTTGTCCAACTCCCGCCAAAGAAGTACGGAGCATGGACGAGATTAAAATCAGAAGACAGTGCCCGAGAAATTGTTGCACAAGCTCAGGCGTCCGGAAAGATGTAGAAAAAAGGTACGAGAGCAGGAAAGAGCGACGAGATTATAGCAGCATAAGACATGTCGATATTACAACAACATTAATGCGCGTCGACATTACAGCAGCAGCGGAAAACGCCAAGTTAGACAAGTACATTACAGTGAGATGGTAGGTGGAGACGGTGCAAAGACAGCGAGCATTAGTGGTAAAAAAAGTACATCCAAAGAGGAACAACGGCATAGTCCGTCATTATCCAGCATTGCAACATCACATCATCATCAGAGCGACTTGAAGTAGACCATCGGCCTCACGGGCCCCTGGACAGGCGACAGCTTCGGGTCCCTCTGCATCTGCGCCATGCGCTCGGGCGACGTCGGGGACGTGGGCGACATGAACGCGGGGCTGGGGCTCCGGGCGCGGAGAGCAGGCGGCATAGATAGGTAGGCGACGGGTGTGCCGTTAGGGTGCAGGTTGATCTCGCTGAACGAGTCGTCGCTCGCGTTCGGGCCCAGGAGACGCCGAGCCGGGGAGCTACGGTAGCCGGGCCGCTTGTTGGGTGTCCGGGGCAGAGGGGAGGGGAGAATCCAGCGGTGCAAGCGGGAGGGGACGTCGTGGATTGGGGAAGATGCTAGTGGAGCCGAGGGAATAAGCTCGTGTGGCGAGGTGTAGGATGCGGCGGGGGGTTTCTCAAAGTGCTCCTGAGTCGCGTGTTAGCCTGACGGGACAAGGAGTGATATCAGGAAGTATTCACCTCCAGGCTGTCATAGGACCGGTTCCACTGGAACCAAGTCGACCACGACGACCGAGAGCTCCGTTCCTTCCTTGCAGTCCGCGGCACCGTAGAAGAAGCTGATGTCATTCAGTATTTAGTGTTGCACTTCTACGTTATAGCTGTTAAACACACCTTTGGGCATACCATGTCGAGCTTCCTCGTCAACCACCTTCTTCAACTTCGCATAGGCCTTGTAAGCCAGATACGCGATGAGAATGACGGTAGTAGTCGCGAAGATGACCAAAAGGACCAGCAACAGCGTGTATTGTCCCTCCATAGATATCGGTGTATCGGTATTAGCGTTGGAGGTGGTGGTGGTGGGAGACAGAGATGCAGAGAGTATGGGAAGACCAAGGCGACTCTGGTTGAAATGCGGGGAGAACATATAATAGACACGAGATTTGCTGATCAAACCGGCTTCTCGGGGACGCGCTCGGGGCTGGTGATGCGCTTCCGTTGGAGTTTGTTTGGCAGCCGAAAGTAAACAAGGAAGAAGGCCGGTGCTTCGATGATACGCGAAACAGAGCCAAATGGTCTCAGACTGGATCGGCGACCAGATCAGTGTTGGACTGAGCAAGTCCGAATCGGGGAGCACTCCAGGCTCCAAGAGTCCATGTGGCGGCGTCAAGACCGCGGGGAAGAGGCCAGCATACGTTGGCGCATTCCAAAGAGCACCCAGCGAGCACAAAAGAGGGAAAAAGAAGTCGAGAAGCACAGATGGTCAGAGGCCAAAGACGAGACAGCCCGGACCCGGTTTCAGAAGCTTCGGCTCGGTATTCGAATTAGGCTCGCAGAGCCGGCGGGTATCACTACATGCGACGACACAAGATACGGTAAAAAAGAATTCCAACGTGCCAGCTGCAGTTCTATAGAAGCTTCTGAGCCATCGAGCGCGACTAGTCGGTTGCTTGGGGCGATCGGCGCGCTTATAGCAATGGCGTTGCCTTTTGCACGGGAGAGAGCTTCGGATTGGACCGCATCTGCCGCACCCGCCGTTCGGCCATCGTAGGCGCCGACGATTTGATATCCTGTGACGTCAGCAACGGAGAGCGGGGGCTGTCTGATGTGCTTGCAGAGGGGGTTTTCGCTGTTGGTTCGTTGCTCTGGAACGGGCTCAGTGGGTCCATTGCCAAGGGAGAAGAGATCTCAGGCCGGGAGAGGAAGGCAGATTTGTTGAGACGGGGTGTCCGGGCGGGAGCGGGACTGCGAGGAGGTGTACTGGGGGACGGAGAGGCGCCGATCCGTGGTCTCGTCGGCAGGGGAGTCTGAGAGTGCATGTTGGCGTATACACCAGGTCGCAGCAAAGGAACAGCCTCGGCTTACCTGCTCGTCGACCTCTTTGTTCGCTAGCTTCACCCAGCTCCCCTGCCGCTTGCGTCGGGAGCTCTGTTTGCTCTGTTTACCTGCAAATAGTTAGCATACGTTGTCGAGGACCTCATAGCACGTTGTCCCGCACCTCTGGATGTCCGCCGCTCCTTCCTCGCTGCTATGATCTTCCGCTGCTTAATTCTGGCAGAGTACCACTTCCCGATGAAGGCAGCTATGCCAAAGACCGCGACGAAGCCAAAGACACCCAGAAGAGCGAACGGGACCGTCTTTTCCTTGCCAGCAGGATGCGACGACGACGCCATCGAGGAGCCGGTGTTGGTGGGGGTAGGCGCCCCGGGAAATGCAGTTGGAGACATGCTTCGATGATATGGTTTATGTTACCTGCTTGCCTTGTGACGATCCGGAGAACATTGGACGGGCAGAAGGATTACTAGGTGGGGTTGCTTGAAGGCCTGGAGTCGCCATGCGCGCAGAAGCGAGCGGCGGCTGTCCCGACATCGCTCGGGAATATGACATAGGAATGCGCCTGAGTCAAGTGTTGCGGATTCCTGTTGTATGTAGGGCTGACAAAGGATGGTATGGTGCTTGGATGCATGAGGAAGAGGACGGTGCGCGCGGAATGCAGAGCGTGCTGCAAATGTCAACTCTTTTTGGCTCGAAGCGTTTCGATATATAGGGGGTTTCTTTTCTCATTAGATGCACGTCTTCTAAGGACAAGTTATTGCGCATACGTCATGCGCACATGTACATGTAATAGTTTTTTTGCGTCCGAGTGACGCCGATTAAATCTAACATACTAGGGGTATATATGACTAACGGCAGTCACGATACAAAACACCCGGAAAGAACGCCGCAGGGAGAGACCAGAGATTACATCAGAGCACAAGAGATATCCAGCAGGCCCGGGGTATATCGCATCGACAGGAATCAGGAAGCCTAGAAGAAGCCGCTGTTGCTGTGCCGGTTCTCTCTCACCATTGCGATGGCCTGGTCGCGCGACGCCATTGACGGAAGAGAGGCGGAGTGCTGAGGGCCCGAGGCGGTGGGAGGCGGGGCGACTAGCGTTGTGCTGGATGGTGCGGGGGTGATCTCAGTGAGAGCCAGAGAAGGGCCTGCGAGTTCAGGGCCCTGAGGGGGAGCAGACGAGGGAGGACGCGAGGCGTCTGCGGTGCTGGCGCTGGTGCTAGCGACGAGGCCTAGGTCCGCTAGAAGGGGCGTGTTCTCGCGCGAGGGCTTCTTGGCGTCGTACACGGAGACGAGCGTCAGCTGGGAGGAGGGGCCGTGGGGCCCGCCGGCGTAGATCCCGGAATTTGAGGACGCGGGGTGGAGGGTGTTGGCGGGCTGCGCGGCGGGTTCGGGCGTTTCGAGAACGGGGGGGAGGAAGTCTGGTTGGGGGCGTTTCGAAGACGCTCGAGCCTGTACACACGGCGGGCGGATGGTGTAGGCTGAGCAACAGCGACTATACAGGCGCAGTGAGATGTGTGGAGAAACGTACCTTGAATCTACTTGCCGCACGCATGAGCGAAGATTTGCGACGGACCGAGGGAGCCCCGTGGCCTTCAGCAGAACCAGAACCAGAGGCAGCAGAAGCAGATGTTCCAGCGTGCGAAAAGGCCCCGGCGAAGTCGACTTTCTCGAGATCGGAGCTGTGGATCCGGACTGTCGACGTCGACCGCGGATGCGCCGCAGCATCTCCCTTCTCCTGCGCGTCCGAGTCAGTGTGTCCGCGCCCGAGCAGCGATGTCAGCCAGCCGGAGCCAAACAGAGAACGGCGCCGAGCTTGCGCGTCGTCGGCGCTCACGGCCTGGTCTGAGGCGACATTGTGGCTGGGCGTGCGCAGATCCTGAGTTCCACCCAGAGGAGCGCCGTCCGCATGCGCAGGCTGCGCCTGCGCCTGCCATTCGTTCTGGTATTGGTACTGATTTTGGTTTTGGTTTTGGTTCTGGGTGTCCTGCTGGCTCTGCGCGGCGCGGAGGAGCTTCCTGCGGTGGTGGTGCTTCTGCACGACGAAGCCGAGCATGGTCGCCATGAAGAGGAGGAAGAAGACGAGCACGAGGGTCGGCGCGATCGGGAACTCTTTGAGGTGTTGCTGGATGTGGGATTGGACCTGGCCTTGTGTTGCGGAGGGGCTTGTGCTGGGGTGTGCGGTGGAACTGGGGCCACCGCTAGAGATTGGGGGCGCAGCAGCTTGAGAGGGCGCCGGGGCGGGGATGGGTTGTTGGGGAGCCATTGGGCGTCCGCGTTGGTGGGTCACAGGAAGGGTGATTGATGAGACCAGACTCCGGGGAGGGCGACAGCTGCAGCAGGCTGCGCGAGAGCAGGACGCAGACAAGAGAGGCGCAGTAGGTGACTGGAGCTAAGGTTTCTTCTAGAAGGCTGTTATACCCCATAGCGAGGCTAGCTCGACGAGACTGGAATGACATCAAAGCCCTCTTCGAACGGCTGGATCAGTATCCAGAGGTCAAGTTCAAAATCTGGCACAGCTGGAGGTATCCTGGTCAAGGCGGTCTAAACACAAACCTGGCGGTGATGATCGCGGCAACAGCGGCGCGCACATGCGGTGGCTGGGAAGCGAAATAGGCAACGCAGCATCTCGACATTTGCTTCGCGCACAGCGAAAGTCGCGAGTACGCCTCCGCGATCGCTGCGTTTGGCTGATGTGAATGCAGCGCAGTTGATTTTAGAAGCTGGCTGTTAATTCTCTGCGCGCGGAGTGCGTAGCGCTGGCTGCGTCTTGGCGCTGCGTGTGGGGTATAAAATGTGGAGGGAGGGGTGGGTTCAAGTGCAAGTTCGAGTTCATCGAGTTCCTCCTCTGCTCCCCCAGAGCTATCCTCTTTTTCCTTGGTTCTATTCTACAACAGCTTATCTCTCATATTCCCTCATAATAACCTAAAACATGGAAGACGAAGTCGCTGCTCTCGTATGCTCTCGCCGAGTTTCTGTCGTTCGTGGCACACAACTTACCTACGAATGTTATTGCGTAGGTTCTTGACAATGGCTCTGGCATGTGCAAGGCGGGATGTAAGTAGCTATCACACAACACTGCACGCTATCGCTGACGACGTCTTTAAAGTTGCTGGTAAAGGTCTTGCTCATACCACTGTTATCGGCCATTGAAGTATTGTTCTAGGTGACGATGCGCCTCGCGCTGTTTTCCCGTCCATCGTAGGACGTCCACGCCATATGGGTGTTATGGTGGGTATGGGACAGAAGGATTCCTACGTTGGGTGAGCACCTCCAATGAATCCACTTACCTCGGCTCATCAATATCCTGCTCAGTGACGAGGCCCAGTCCAAGCGCGGCATCCTCACCTTAAAGTACCCCATCGAGCACGGCATTGTCACCAACTGGGACGACATGGAGAAGATCTGGCACCACACCTTCTACAACGAGCTGCGCGTCGCGCCCGAGGACCACCCCGTGCTGCTCACGGAGGCGCCGCTGAACCCGAAGGCGAACCGGGAGAAGATGACGCAGATCATGTTCGAGACGTTCAACTCGCCCGCGTTCTACGTCTCCATCCAGGCGGTGCTCTCGCTGTATGCGTCCGGTCGTACCACCGGTATCGTCATGGACTCGGGCGACGGTGTCACGCACACGGTGCCCATCTACGAGGGGTTCTCGCTGCCGCATGCGATTTTGCGGCTGGATCTCGCGGGGAGGGATCTGACGGAGTATTTGGTGAAGAATTTGACGGAGAGGGGGTATTCGTTCACGACGACGGCGGAGAGGGAGATTGTTAGGGACATTAAGGAGAAGTTGTGTTATGTGGCGTTGGACTTTGAGCAGGAGCTGCAGACGGCGGCGACGTCGTCGGCGCTGGAGAAGTCGTATGAGCTGCCGGACGGGCAGGTCATCACGATCGGCAATGAGCGGTGAGCGTTTCAAACCTGGTCGTCGCTGATGCTTGAGATGCTAAATAGCATGTAGGTTCCGTGCACCTGAGGCGCTCTTCCAGCCTTCATTCCTTGGCCTCGAGGCGGCGGGTATTCATGAGACAGCGTAAGTCCCTTGATGTTGCTTGTTAGCTGGGGTATTCACAGGTATCTTCGACCGCAGATTCAACTCGATCTACAAGTGCGACATGGACATCCGCCGCGACCTGTACGGCAACGTCGTGCTCTCCGGTGGCACGACGATGTTCCCAGGCATTGCGGACCGCATGCAGCGCGAGCTTACCTCGCTCGCTCCCTCGAGCATGAAGGTCAAGATCGTGGCGCCGCCGGAGCGCAAGTATTCTGTGTGGATCGGCGGGTCGATTCTGGCGTCGTTGAGCACGTTCCAGAATCTGTGGGTGTCGAAGCAGGAGTACGACGAGTCGGGTCCGGGGATTGTGCATCGCAGTGAGTCGCCGTTGTTTTGGTCCTTGGATTTATTGGAATCTGATGGCGGGGTGTCCAGAGTGCTTCTGAGAGTTAAGCGAACGGTGATTGCAATTAGTGGTTGTCTGGGCCTCTCGCTGCACATAGAGTTGACTCTGGACATTGGGGAAGGTTTCAGTGGATGGCTTATTGAGGTGCTCTTGTCTCGAACGTCTTGTATTATACTGGAATGAAATCTAATCGTGTCCTTGTCCTGTTGAGTGGACGGGCAATGATAAGCGCGGCCTACGTCATGACGTGTCGGATTACACAGGGTTGAGGGCGTTGGAAGTCCGCAGTGGGGAATGGAACTCCGATTGGCTGGGCGAGCGGACGGACTGCCCTAAATCAGGCGGCGTAGGCGAGCACGAGTTCTGACCTGCGGTTTGACTTGAACGAGTTTTAACCTGATCTCCCCCATCTTTCATCCCTAACGACCACCACCTCCCTCTCTTAACGAACAACTCACCATGGAAGACGAAGTCGCGGCCCTCGTACGTCCACCTGCCCTGTCTCAGCCCACTATCTGTACTCATCAGCTCTATATTGTAACGCTAGGTTATCGACAATGGTTCCGGCATGTGCAAGGCTGGCTGTAGGTACCCCCAATCGATTGTCTTGAACTCTTACTGATCCCTCTCCCGACAGTCGCTGGTACTACATCCACCCCAATCCGTCCGTGTTTTCTACCTAACTAACGCGTGATCGCAGGCGATGATGCCCCCCGTGCTGTTTTCCCGTAAGCGTTCCGTGTCGTTACACGTGTACTTTCATTGACAATTCCGCGACAGCTCCATCGTCGGTCGTCCCCGTCACCAGGGTGTGATGGTCGGCATGGGTCAGAAGGACTCTTACGTCGGGTGAGTCGCAGCCAGTCGCGCGCAGCACACCCACAGGTCGCTTATCACGTAAGCGGTGCAGTGACGAGGCTCAGTCCAAGCGTGGTATCTTGACCCTCAAGTACCCCATCGAGCACGGTATCGTCACCAACTGGGACGACATGGAGAAGATCTGGCATCACACCTTCTACAATGAGCTCCGTGTCGCCCCCGAGGACCACCCCGTCCTCCTTACCGAGGCTCCCCTCAACCCTAAGGCTAACCGCGAGAAGATGACCCAGATCATGTTCGAGACGTTCAACGCCCCCGCGTTCTACGTCGCCATCCAGGCCGTCCTGTCGCTCTACGCCTCCGGTCGTACCACTGGTATCGTCATGGACTCTGGTGATGGTGTCACCCACACCGTCCCCATCTACGAGGGTTTCGCGCTCCCGCACGCCATCCTCCGTCTCGACCTTGCCGGTCGTGATCTTACTGACTACCTCATCAAGAACTTGATTGAGCGCGGTTACTCGTTCACCACCACGGCTGAACGTGAAATCGTCCGTGACATCAAGGAGAAGCTCTGCTACGTCGCCCTCGACTTTGAGCAGGAGATGCAGACCGCCGCTCAGTCGTCTGCTCTTGAGAAGTCGTACGAGCTTCCTGACGGTCAGGTTATCACCATCGGCAACGAGCGGTGAGTTGATGATCGATGTCGGTGTTCGGAAGCGTGTTTTAATTATGCGACTATAGCTTCCGTGCTCCTGAGGCTCTCTTCCAGCCTGCCTTCCTCGGTCTTGAGGCTGCTGGTATCCACGAGACTACGTAAGATGTGTTCAAATCTACGCACGTTCCATTAGCTGACTATCTGTTTAGTTACAACTCCATCTTCAAGTGCGATCTTGATATCCGTCGTGACCTCTACGGCAATGTCGTTCTCTCTGGTGGTACTACTATGTTCCCTGGTATTGCCGACCGTATGCAGAAGGAGCTGACCTCGCTCTCGCCATCGAGCATGAAGGTTCGTGTGCTAGATTAAGCTCATCTTCGTGTGGTGTCTAAAAGCAGGATATATAGGTCAAGATCGTTGCTCCTCCTGAACGCAAGTACTCCGTCTGGATCGGTGGTTCCATTCTTGCTTCGCTCTCGACCTTCCAGAACCTCTGGTGCTCGAAGCAGGAGTACGACGAGTCTGGCCCTGGTATCGTCCACCGCAGTACGTGTTCCGCCTCCATTCTTCGTTATGGCCCGTGTCTCACCTTGCTGTACAGAGTGCTTCTAAGCGCAAGTGCCGGGCGACTAGAAGTCAAAGAAAAGGATGCTTTCCGTCATGTAGGGGTGTTACATATTTTTGATTTCTTCCATCTGCTGCTCGTCATCATCGGTTTCCTAATCCTTTTACCATTCTCGTCTATCCTTTTTCGCGGTGGTCTCGCGTTGCTCGCTCGTGGTCATGGGCGGGGGCGATGGGGTCGCTTGTGCATGTTTCTTCAGTACGGATGTGAAGTACGATCATCAATAAATGAACGATTGAAGAATTTTAAACTGAATGGAGTGTTGAATCCTACTGAAGTGAGCGTCAACTATTGTGGGTGACGTTGTGTTGTTGGTGTTTTGTGTTACTAGTATTGTCGCTCAGTAGACGATTTCAACTCGGTTTGCTCGCAAACGAACGACGAGGTTGAGCGATACCAGCTAGTTCCTTGTATGCTCAAAAGTTCATTTCTCATGGTCGCTTGCACAAAGCTCTATCCCTGCTTTTGCCATCCACTATCGGATAACCTATAATGAAAAATCCCACTCATTCGTGAAAAAACATAACCTTCACCCGATCCGCTTAGCTCCGGCATTCGTCTGGAGATGCAAACCATATCTACAAACAGTTTTGGAAAGAATTCATGCAAATAACTAGTCTCGTTCAGCCTTCGGCAGCCCAACGAAGGCTAATGAACACTTTGGTCGCGCCAAGTAGCACCGGGCCTGCCGTTCCAATGCCCGTTGCAGCCTCATAACTTCCAATTTCGGCGTCAAAACTACATGGACGTGTAGCCTGTCATCCGAGCATCAAAACGGACCCGGTAGAATTGCTAGGTTCGAGGAAATTGTGGGGTTATTTGAGTTTTTTGCTGTAGATTCGCTTTTCATTGTAGGTTCTACGATAGTACGTTTCGCTCCTATTCACTGGCCCATACAACCTGCATTTTATGAGGTAAAGGATATGTGATGATCTATGGCTGAGTGAAACTTGTTGCAGCTCTATGCGTCGGTCATCTCGTTTCTCCCCGGCCCCATGCCTAACCACGGCGTTTTCAGGCGGAACGGTTCCAGATCTTGTAGGCGCCGATCTGCGTGTCGAAGCTCCAGGCGTCCCAGCAGTAGGGGGTTTCTTGAGTGTCGTAGTGAGCGTACAGGAGGGAGCAGTTGACGTCTTCTTGGCATTCCTATATCGAGGAGAATGGAAGTGAGTTGTTGCAGAGACTGTCATGGTTTCTGATGACGTACCTCCATTGAAGGGTCTGTGGCCGGTGATGTGTGGTTAGATGGGTTCGGAAGATGGATGGGTGTGCTTACAGAAGTCGAGCTGGGGAATAAGTGTGTTAGGGAAGTTTGTTCTGCTAATGGTGGGGAGGGTGCGTTACCTCGTATCCGCCGGTGAAAGGGCCTTTGCCTGCTTGGTCAGCGAACCTACAGGGTACAGTCACTTTGAGTGGGTAACAGGATGCCTGGGAAGGTGCGATGCTTACTGGACCGAGGAGATGTTGGCGCCCTCGGGCAGGACGATGCAGTTGCCGGGTGCTGCGTCTGTGACGGTGGTCTAGTGGGGGTAAGGGAAGGGAAGCAACGTGTTGAGGTCAGTTGTTTTGCGGAGGAGTGGTGGGATATGTATATGAGGAGTGAACACTGACGATGGGCGTTGTCGAGCAGAGCTGGTCCTGGTCGACGTAGGTGGAGAAAGACCAGGCGGAGACGAGGGGAGCGAGGGCGGCGAGAGCGAGGAACTTCATGGTGGTACTTGCAAGGGTGAATCCGATCCAGACGTTCTGGCCGTCAGGGCGGCGGGGTTATATAGCGCTTGGATTGAGGGAGCATATGCTCTGCATACCAACGGCGGTCGGAGATGAGAAGATACGGCGCTTTGTCACTTGTGGCCTCATGTCGAGGTCGATCAAAGTTGGCTGTCAAGTAGTTTGATGACACGTCGATCGGCGTATTAGAGTCGAGGTTGCAATTGAGTCAAGCTTGAGGCGACGTTTGTTGGGTTGAGGAGCGGATATCTTCTACAAGTCTGTCCAGGTGTGTAGTTTCCCTTGTAGATCTGATGCGGGATTTCCTGGAGTCGGCGGCGCTGCAGCGTGTAAGGGGTATACCTGGGAGGAAAGACCATGCATCCGAGTGTCTTTACGCCGCATGCTAGTTTGCGCAGGTGCAAGAAACTCAGGGGACCGAGCTCTTGCCTCGGTCCTGAAGTTCAGTAGTAAGCGGCAACGGGCAGCAACGGGCTGACATTGACAATTCATGGTGGCTATATAATGAGTTGATGCTCAGAAGCGTTGGTGTTCGTTGGTGTCGAGGGCGAGTCCGACCTCACCGGGGTATATGAGGGTATATGATAGCTTTTTCTTCAAAGTGCCGACAATACTCCTGAGTACAGTTAATGGTCTATGTCAGGGTCATCCACGGTTGTTTTCCTTGAAGTCTGAGCAGGTCCCCTTCGCTGATAACAGTGCCGTTTGCATCCAGCTAAGTGTTCCTTGACAATCCAGCCATGGAAAGAAAGAACTTCGGCTTGGTTTCGACCACGGAGTAAGAAGCGGGGTCGGATATAGTTATACTACAATTCTGCGTAATCCATGCACAAACGGTCAGAATCAGCTAGGCTGGCTTCTGTTTAACATGTTAACTCCGTTGCAGATGTAGCTGGCTTACGGATAGACCAGCTGTGCTGTGGACATGGCCACCATCCGGAGGTAAGATTTTGCACTTTCGGCGGCCATGGACTTAACGTTCCTCTCCTGCAGTCGTCAAGCCCCAGCCCCGAGAAGTCCGAGAACCTTGTAAGCGCTCATTCCAGAAAGATATTGCGTACTGGGGAGCACTCCGGAAGGTCCACAGTGTACGTTTGCTCAGGACTTTGGTTGTAGCATGTCGACAACAGCATTGGCACACCATACTTATTCTCGTTACTTGTTGCTGGTCTAGCTACAGAGGGGATGATAGTGATGGTTGCTTCTGGGAGTGAAGAAGAGAGCGGGAAAGAGCTCGCTTGAATGTGGCTTTTACGAGCCACTGCCAAGCCTGCCAGTCCTAGGTGACTCCAGAGTCAAGGCCATGCTCAAGGCTAACGCCGACATGGAACCTTCTGGGATCGACTTCAACCATAGCCATGATACGTACCTATTTCTCAGACGTAAAGCACTGAAATGTGGTTTGAAGTTAAGTGGAGGCGGCATGGTCGCAGACTCACAGTGAGGGAAGAACATAATACGCAACCCGGGGTCGCTTGTTAAAACGTTAACTTCTAAAGTAGACAGAAGCTCCTATTTGCGGAAGCACGTGACTACATTTCTAGATTGCTCGCGTTCCGGCCACGCGTCTCGTTTTCCAATCCTCCTTCGACCCATCATGCATCATTGATTCATCTTCTACTAGGTCCCACTGCCATACATGTACGAGAGGCAAAGATCTATGCGTGTAGCTTTGTCGTCGACACACCGACGATCTTAGAGGGTCCCTCAACGCTTTCAACCCGCCCGGATGATAATGACCTCCCCCGCTCCACCGAGCCAGAGGGGCGCGTGTGGGCGCCTACTGACTGCTGGATATTCGATGCTTTCAGAGGGCCTGATTGCTCACGTACTAGTGCAGTCTTGGTGTAGACACGGTAGCCCGTGACCAGCGATTTCTGTCCTTCAAAGTAGACCCTCTGGGCCCACTTTGAATAAGAAGACCGTCTCGCATTCCAGACACATGCGTAGTCTGAATGCAAGTATGCACTCGGCTTGCGGGAGCGGCATTAAGATATTTGTTTAGGCAAGTCAAGAATTGATGTCCTCCTGACCTTCAAACAGCCTGGACCATAGAAACAAGAGGCTATGGAAACTTGAACGGTTTAGGTTAGCGTTGATTAAGGCCGCGAGACGTGACGAGAACTAACGAGAGGATCACCAGGCCAACCCACGCGAACAATGATACATATAGCTACCGTAGCCGGGGGTGTTGCCTCCGGAAGGGCGCTACCGCAAAACTTTGATAGGACCTGTCAGAGGTCAGTAGTACGGGGTTGGTGCGCCTGATTAGCAGCTGATACCTGTACCTGTCCTCTGGGAGGCTGACGGAGGGGGCGGTAGTGGTCAGAAGACGGGTTTCTGCTATGCCGGACTGCGAGTCCCGCAGCAGAGACGGGTAGGCATAATCAATGTTAGCCAATAGCTCCCAACATTACCATGAACTCGCAGTGAATCGGTGCAAAGTGGCGCGCAAGCTCGTGTGGATCGAATCTACAAGTTGCAAGGCTGCCGGAAATATCCAAGCAACATCCGACGGAGACCTAAGTCTGGTGAGCACCAACGGAGGTCGAACCTCCGAACCAATAGATGGGGGATGGCATCGAGAGTAGAGGTGAAACATCAATAGAGTACTTTGACATTGAGTGGGGAGGCGCAGAGGAAGTGCACAGGTAAGTTTCCATGGCGGATCCTTGGCTGACAGTGATGTTAGTCTTGATTCAGGAGTATGAACACCATCTACTCGCGTTGGAACGCGGACCTTTGAGCACAGGTACGCAGTATGAACTCTAGCTATGGTGAGACCGGGCAGCTTCTGCTTTTGGTCCCACCATCTAAAACCTATCTCTTCAGAAGGACGCTGACAATAAACGTGGGGTTCAATGTCGCAGGAGTAAGAGCCAACCAGCTATTCTTGGGGCTGAAGTCTTCAGTGAGTGGGCCCGCAAGGTTGGAACTGCATTTGCATGCAGGTTGTATAGCAGGACGAGTTGAAATGGTCATGGTTGATCATGAACCTAATAGTAGTGCGTTTGATAAGCCGGGCGCCTGAACTGTATCATGATGGATGATGTGACCATGAGTTCGCAGAGCCAAAAAAGCAATTGTTAACTCAAAAAACGTAATGATCGACACTGGGAACTCGGGTCCGGCTAACGTTGGTTGCCTGCAGGACAGCCTACATAGGACTCTCTAGGACTGACCTGGGAAGACGACGGAGGCAAGAACGCACCGACGTCCAGACATGTGCACTCGGTCCCTTTCGGCCACAGTCTCTTTAGGTCCCACCCGTGAATCCTGCCGCCGGTTCGGTGGAGAGGTGATTCGCCTCGGGCAGCCTCGGGCACAGAGTCGGGCAGTCCGGTAATTTAGGCTCTGAAAAGCTACCCGGACGATCCACACGAGTCCACATGGGTTGGGCAAACAAGCTGGTGAGGGAATAGACCTGAGATGAAAGGGATCCGGAGGATCGACTTCCGGACGCACTTGCCAATTTCATCATTTCACGCTCCTGTCTGTCGGCAATGCTAGTCTCCCCTCTCCGCTTGTGGCCGTCGTCGAGATTCACCACCCATCTGCTCGGCCTCCGTCACATCATCAACTGCTACGTAGGCAGAACTTCAGCACCATATATCAGCTAGCCTCTTCATCGCAGTGCTCAAAACAATCCTTCCCTCCTTCAGGCTCTCTTTCTCCGTCTACAAAAGTTGACGTCATGGCCGTTCCTCCAGGCTTCCTTTACATTGCCCAAAACCTTCCCCGTTTCTTTCTTCCGCCTGGTGCAACCTTTGCAGTTCTACGAATCCTCCGCGACCAGCACCACATAGACCTCTCGACATGGCTAGAGATTGTTGCATGCATCCTCTCACTTCCTGTTGCATTTGTTGCCAACAACCTCTACTGGAGCTGGCGCAATGCGCGAGACGCCGCCGCTCGCGGGGCCGTCCTTGCACCCAAGGCCAAGGCCAGACTCCCTGGAGCCATTGACCGACTCCTTGATACCGCCAAGTTGTTTGCGACCGGTTACATTGGTGAGTCCGAGGTGTCGCCGCCACTCATGCTGGATCCACATCTGACGGATCACCCAAGGTGAGGCGTTTGACCAGCAAGCCCGCGTACACGGTAACACCGTCAACGTGCATGTTCTCTGGGAGGATAGGGTAACTATCAGATGTTGATGCAATCATTGACCGCCATCGTTGACCCACATGCTCTATAGGTTATGACTACCGAACCCGAGTACATCAAGGTGCGCAATGAAACGCCCCTATTGATTGTATTGCATAGACTTACTCTAAGGCTGCTGTGTAGGCTATCCTTGCGTCTCAGTTCAATAGCTTCGCCAAAGGTTTGTGAACGAGTTTCCAAGGGGAGGGAATACAGCATGCTAACCGCTTGACTTTAGGTCCTGAGCTATTCGAACAGAACAAGACTCTTCTTGGAACTGGTGTTTTCAACTCTGATGGTGATACTTGGAAGTACGTTGACCATGCGAGACCTCTTGATGGATTACACTGATAGGATGATAAAGGTTCCACCGGTCCATGACCAGGCCTTTCTTCAGCAAGGACCGCATCGGCCACTTTGACATTTTCGACAGGCACGCGGACGATGCGCTCAGCAGAACCGCCCTGCGTCTCGCCGAAGGCCTCCCTGTCGATATCCAGGTTCGTACTTTCCGCTTTCAAATAGACGAAATTGTTCATATGTGAGCTGCAGGACATGGTGTCCCGCTTCACCCTTGATTCCGCCACCGAGTTCCTCTTTGGCAAGGACGTATGCTCGCTCTCCGCCGGGCTCGTCTACCCGCCCAACCACCCCCTCGCGGACTCGTACGAGGCGAAGAACGACCCGGCGAACCAGTTCGCGCACGCGTTTGCAGAAGCCCAGATCGGGACCGCAAGCCGGAGCATATGGGGCCGCGCGTGGCGTCTCCGGGAGTTCTGGACGGACGATGTGCAGAAGAACATCAATGTGTGCTTCAGGTTTATTAATCCAATCTTGGACGACGCGCTCGCGAGGAAGGAGGCTGGCAAGGTTGGCATTCAACAGGAGGGGTCGAGAGAGGTGCAGGAGGGCGAGTCGTTGCTCGATCATCTCATTAATCTTACCGATGGTGAGCGAGTTTCTGCTAGGTGTCGAAAGGTTGCTCACAACGTCTGGCAGACCGTAAGCTCATCGGTGACGAGATCTTGAACATCATGATCGCTGGCAGGGATACGGTTAGTCGCTTCACTTTTCTACTCACTTAAAACTTGAGATGTTGATCGTATCAATACAGACTGCATGCACCCTAACAATGGCCGTCTACATGCTGTCTCAGCACCCCGATGTGCTGGCCCGGCTGCGCGAGGAGACACTCGATCAGGTTGGCCCGACCAATCGCCCCACATATGATGACCTGCGCGAGATGAAATACATGCGTGCTTTCGTCAACGAGGTTCTCCGTCTCTACCCTCCTGTGTACGTATTTCAGCTCTGGACGAGCTGCTTGTGCTGATGGTGAGGAACCTGTAGGCCCGGTAACGCTCGTTACTCGACTCAGCCCACCGTCTGGCCTGGCCTCAACGGCAAGCCTCCTATCTACATCCCCGCTAACACTCGGTATGCTAAATCGTCGTCAATCTTGCTATGTACTGACCAATTTACAGTACTCCCTACTCTGTCTTCCTCATGCACCGTCGCAAGGATCTCTGGGGCCCTGATGGTCAGTCTCTCACCTTTGATTTATTCCCATGGCATCCTCACTAACTTTCCCTCACCACAGCCGATAACTTCGACCCGGACCGTTTCCTCGACGAGCGCCAGAAGAAATATCTCACGCCGAACCCGTTCATCTTCCTCCCCTTCAACGCCGGCCCGCGCATCTGCCTCGGACAACAGTTCGCGTACAACGAGGCGTCGTTCTTCCTCGTGCGCCTGTTGCAGCGGTTCTCGGCTGTGCAGCTTGCCGAGGACGTGCAGACGATGCCGCCGCCCGAGTGGGCGAGTGCGGAGGGCAGGAAGGCGGTTGAGCGGGTGATGGTGAAGACGCATTTGACGATGTACGTCAAGGACGGGCTGTGGGTCCGGATGGACGAGGCGAAGGGCGAGGCGTAGACGGTGTGGTCGTTTGTGACTTTGTTTCTTTATTTCTGTATCCTTGTGTCAGGGGAGTCGACGGAATAGATCCGTGTACCCTTTAGCTATAGCTAGACTTTATTCTAGATTCTGATACTTAATTATTTATGAACTAGAACATCGGCAACACACGTAGCATCTCGAGAACGCAGGTCTGACCCCCGTTAAATCTTGTATCTTACCTTTCATCTGTGTCACTATCACATAACAGTGTGCCTTTCAAAATTCATAGAAGTTGCTTCCCAAGGGCAAGTTACTTCAACCTATCTATTGTTCCATATAACATTCGGTGCCACACCCGCGCGTGTCAACCTAGCCTACGAAATTGATGTGGTCCTTACATACCTTTGTGGGGTAGGGTAGCTTAGAATGTATGAAGGTCAATGTGTCAACGGCGTAAACTTAACTGTATGCTCTTTTGAAGGCACGGCCTAATAGGTATGCCTCAGTTCGGAGTTATTCCTTGGCCGTTCCCTCTAACCTTGATATTGTATTCAAGTCCCCGATAACAAAGGAGAAAAGCGGAGGCATATGTGCTTGTTCTTGTTACAGTAAATCCGTTTGGGTTTTCATAGTAGCACCATAGTAGGCTTGTGTGAGGCCGAGAACTGCATGCTCCTTGTCGGAAAAGTCCAAATGGGCGTCTCGACGAGAGCTGGGACCCCCCGTCGCCACCACGTGTAAGCGAGTCTGAGCGGCCATTCATTCGTTTCGACGCCATTGCAACGCCGTCGAGACACCGTAACGGTGAGAATTTTGCCCAATTTTGGCCATGCGAATGCATCGCGATTGGCTTCTCGCTCATATGGACGCGTTGCAATGCCGTCGAAACGGCGTGGGGATGCCACTTGCTGTCGCCGACGCGTCTAAGTGGGTAGCGAAACGTCGGCATGCATGTAGACGCGTTGCTACGGGAAACTGATTTTTCCGACACTGTTGGGCGCATTTCAACATGTCTCAGAACAGTATGAAGGGCCAACATTGACGATATGGAGTACAAGACGCCTAAAAACGAGGCAGGACCATTCTTATACTGTCACCGCCGACTCCTTGTCTTGCTGTCAACATTTTTGCTTTGTGCTCCGTATTCGTGTGTCTGTTCTTTTCTCATGGTATAAGTAGTCTCTCATGCTACAAGCGAGATTGGTGTACACTTCCATCGAGTCTCATTCATATCACATTCCATCATCGAACAAACTTATAGGTTAATCCAATATTGCTCTCCTTTTTCGCACTCGATTTCGCTTACGCCACTCCCGATATTGAGGCACACGGCGGCTGACGACGCGTGACTTTGTCAATGAGCGAAACGGGATCTTTAAGGGATTTGCTAGGCGAGCGGCCGTCGTTGCTGAAGAGAGCGTCTGCGAGGATTCAGTCGGAGTGGGCTTGTTGGCTGGCAAAGCGCAACAAGAAGATGCAGATAAAGGCGGCCACTGCCGCCTCGTTGACGATCTCAAACCCAAAGATTTATGGGAATGCCGAGTCAATATTGATACATTGTGATAAATGTGGTACACTATTTCGAACAACTCGACTAGTGAGCAGTCCAGTTTGTAGCTTCATTTATGCGATCAAGGAACTCCTGCCCGTATAAGCTGTACCAGGATGAGTTGTAGTGCTCCCAAGTTTCAATACCGACATCGTAGAAGGCGACTTCGGTTCCAACCATAGCGATGCCCACAGCCTTGACTGTCCATCGGTCGCCCTCCTTTCCGAGTCGGTACATGTACCTGAGCAGCTGTTGCATGACAAGCTTCTTTGTCCGATTCGTCTCTTTCTCATCCTTGCCTGCTGAGGCAATCTCCATCACCACACGAACCTTATCCTTTACGTTTATGCGTGGCCGGTAGAACGAGCATACAACGAAGTCTGGGAACTTCGTGCCCTCCTTGCCGGTAACAACCGGATCTACACTGTCAGTCAGCGTCCTGGCCAGCTCCACAAGTGCAAGAGACACTGACTATTCGACGTTGAGTCAAAGCTCACATTAGCAGCCTCCATCAAGACATCCTCCGGCTCCTCCTTCCAGGTCGCATCGGTGGTCCCATCATCGTCAATATCGTGTTGCAGTGGATTGTTGTTGTATGCATCTCCCGCCTCCAAAAACGATCGCCGGCGAGCGGGTGATGCGGGATTTTCTGCAGGAGCTCCGCCATCAACAATATCTCAATCTGTGTTCAAGCTAACTCAGTTACCATCATCAACTTCCCCCTCTAATCCAAGGGTAGCGATATCTCGCAGAAGCTCCGCCTCGGTGTAGACGAGGTAATCATCGTCATCATAAGACACTGCTTCTCGTAGAATAGCCTCATGCTCTTTGAGTGTTCTTCGGAAGAGCGCTTGAGGTTTTACTAAATGATCCGCCCTCGAGAACTTGAGGTTGAGATATCGGTCAATCGGCCCATACTGCTGGAACTGATTGGAGGGCACATGGTCCTGCCAGTCCTCGATGAGGGCCTGGATGGTATCAAACACCCTTCCGTCGTCTGGGTCGAACCTATGGGGTGGCCCTTGTTGAGACATGGATGGCAGCTGTGGTGAAGACAGACGGGTTAATCAACACAGGCAATGTGTTCTACTCCGGAGCGTAGACTCACGTGGGCAAGAGAGACAAATGCTGGTATGGTGGAGCGCGTCTCACCGAAATCCTGAGAGAAATAAGTGTGTGGGGCTTGCTGCAGTATTAGCGACGGCTGCTGGTGCATTTATACACGCAAGCTAGCGATGATTTGGCGCAGAGACAATGAGCTGTAGTATCAATAGCTGAGCGTAAACAATAGCTCGCACCTTCTTTGACACTTACGAGACAATAGTCCGCCAAGCAACAATAAACGATCATGCTTCTGATACTCGCAGCAACAAAAAAAGCGCCAAAAACGAATCATTCAGCTCCCGCGATGACATCCAAGAAGTGCCACAAACAATACTAGGAGCATAAAAGAAACAGTCAAAGATAGCAAAACTCATTGTCCTTATTGTGATGCTGTCTGCAGTGCTTCCGCATTGAACCGGAGGCTTCAGCTAAAGCAAAGAGCGAAAGGGTCGATAGAACAATTAGCTATCCCGATGGCGGTGGTCAAGGATCGCGATCTTCAAAGCAGTGATGAGCACCGGGCAGCGATTGATCAGTGCGTGGTGTGGTGCCCTGGGGCGTTTAGATTTATGACCGCGGCTGGGATGTAATTGGAGTCAAGGAACGTGCTTCAAGCTTCACACCTGAGGCAGCGACGAATTTGATGGCTCGGAAGAGTGAAAGATAAATGCTACGATAGACGTAGAATGGGTCTAGACATCTTATTATTGTTCACTGAAAACGAAAGATTCGTAATCTTGTTTCACATCTGTGTTTCGGGTACATCCATGCTTGGAGTTTGTCTACATGCGGAGTACAAGTGCAAAATAATTTCATTCAGATTGTTGTCTAGCAACGATAGCAGGAAAGATGCCGATTATTTGAATGGATATCAAGCACGTGTCTAGCACGTCATATATTCTGAATCTGATTGTGCGGCCTAGGCGACGAAATATTTATTATCGAACGGGCACGACGAGTTTCTCTGCAATCGCTCCGTAGATTTTACACAAAATTCGAAATATTTCAAACTACATAGTTCACAACGAGACTAAATATAATATTCATGATATTTCCGGCGAGCAGAGCGAGGGTCCCGATCAGCGGGCAGTCAGTGGGCTACTGGGTGGGTCACTCGGTGGGCCACTCAGAGATTGTGGACGCATCCTGCGTAAGATGCTTGAGGCGCAGAAGCAAAGCTGCAGGAGCGCCTTAATACAATCGAAGCGTCGGATCGATCATACATCACTCACCCTCAAGCAAAGCCATCACAAGAGGTTTTAGGTCCTCTGAAGATAGAAAGACCCAGTACAGCATGAGCATCGTTATCAACGCCGAGCAGATGACAACGACGACACCCAGCAACAACGCTGTTGCACAATTGCGGGACCTGAAGCCCGTACTCTGCGTATTAGATGCATGGCTCTTTGTCGCTGACTATTACACTTGAGAAAAACGAATGTGTGAGAGACGGGAGAAAACGAACCGGGTCTGCCGTGTTACGTTCCAATGACCACACCTTTATATCGCAGGCATGCTTGCGAGCACTAGCAGCACTAACAAGGACGCAACTTGTCTCGTCCTCGGCACACTATAAAACATTAAATATATATCACTTAAACAGTGAGTTTGAAACTTACCGTGATGGTACGTACTTCGCTTCCACCTGAAGAGTGTTAGACAAAAGCGAACGATAAAAATACACTATATACATACTGCGGGTATGACTGACACGTTGCATAAACTTTCCCGTTCGGTGGTCAAATACACGAACGAAGCCGTCATCTCCCCCCGCAATCAAGAGATCAGCGACGGGGGCAAAAGCGAGTTGCACGATCGCGTTACGAAGAATGGGGTGCGGAAAGCTCTCGATCCGTTCCAGAGTCGGAATAGCGTATTTATCCACGCCGTTTTTCAGGTTTGACACAAAAAGAAAGGATCCTACGTCAGGAAGACAGGAGTCACCTCTGGCGAAATTGAGTATTTTCTCAAGTGCGAGGTGATGTCACGTACATCCGAGTAGGCAGAGGCCTTGCCCACTTCAAGCTCCACGGTTCAATCCCGTAACAATGGCTAAGCGGTTTTTATCGTTACTAGCGAAGAGGGGAAGAGATGGAAGGGACGTACAGTTCATGAGACTCGAGGTACGATACAAGGACGCTGGCGCCTTTGTCGAGGAAATGAACAGTCCTGGCGATGTATGGCTTTCGCGGAGGATCTTCAATAAGAGCAGTAAAGGCACCTTTATAAGTGTCAACAGTGGCGCTTCACTCAGAAGACAAAGGCTAGCAGACACTTACGATTTGTCCAGGACCAGATTTGAACTGAGCCGGCGCCAACTGTGGCAAGACGACTGCGCGTGGGGTCCCAACACATGTTCTCCACAGGTCCATCATGAGCACGGACCATGTTTGAAAACTGAAACGCACTCTAAGAGAATATCAACGTCCAGGACACGACGTTAGAGGTACAACTTACACTTGTGGATGTCCTTTCGTAGACGTGCACTGTGCCATCAGCGAAACCAGCGGCGAAGGCACGAGGCTCCGTATCGCTCTGGTAAAGCCAGATGACACAAGCTACGGGCCCGTGGAAACAGCAGTCGATTTCCTGTTCAATCTCGCCACTTTGCAAGTTCCAGGCTAATATCAGACCTTCCTGACCTACAGCGTATAGTAAGGGATGAGTCTGGGAGAACGTAAGACACGCACCGGCGCTCAATAGAGTGCGCGACTTGAGACTAATGGCCAATGTATGAATGGCGTCTTCGTGACGTCGTAAGGTATGTTGCAGCTTAAACTGAGTATAACATCGTGAGGTTTAGTCACGTACTACGCGAACGTCAAGGCTTACCTCGGCCATGGAGATCTTATGTCGTATGACTGAAAGCGAAGGGCGCAGAGATTATATAGCCGCGAGTCGAAAGGTGCTCGGTGCTAACCAGTGCTTCACAGCAGAGAAGATCCTCAAAAGATACAATAAGGAGAAACTATAGTAACGGTCGACTGTGTCACTGTACACAATAAGGGTAGTTAGCGTCGTCATGGAGTGACAATAGCATGTTGAGCATAATAACGATGGCGCTTACTTGTAGGGTTTGACAATCAATTCTGTCTCGTTGTTGCTAAGATGATAAGAACGCCACCGCAGGGAACTTCTATTGGCGTTCAAGACTGCTTCTAAGTACGCCACCGGCGTATCATAACAATGAGCAGACAATGGAGAGTGCTACATCGGGCTAGGCAACTCGAACTGCCCTACTACCAGTTGTGATGCGCCGGCGAACCAGAGCGAGACACACCTGAGGGCGCGCCCTTTCGAGAGTGTCGCAGCGGTTTGAATGGGGAGGAGACTGCCACTACCTCGACTGCGGGGTACTCACCGAGCCCTCCTGCGCTCTTAGAGGCTGCGCCTTGCAATCGAATGGCGGGCTTGATGATGCCGATGGCGATGACGGCGACAATAAAACAATGTAGCGACCTCAGAGGTCGGGGAGGCTAGCGCTGATCAGCGGGACGGTAATGATGTGGTCGGAAAGAAAGCCCGTGAGAAAGCGCTGGACGGTTAGATATGGGGAATTGTGAGGGCCACGGACGGCCCGGGGCGGCGCGTGGTCATTGCAATTCCCCATATCTAACCGTCCAGCGCTTTCTCACGCTCTTCTTTTCCAATCTTCATTGTCCCACTCATCCTCAGCGGGAGGGGCGACGCTGCACCCCCTTCTCGTCTCGCCGTGCCCCTCCCGCCTTGCGTTCCCTCGGAGTCGTATCATCTTCGTCGCTCCCTTTCGACACTCATCCTGGGCTCAACGCCTGTCCCGGTACCCGTCTACGCACTTTGTTATCTCAGCCTGCGCCATCGCATTCGCATTTTCCCCTGCCACCCCCTCTGTCCCGTCACCCGCCTCCTCTTCCTCTCCTCTTCGACCTCCTCGCCGACGTCACCCGCCTCCTTTTCCTCTCCTCTTCGACCTCCTCGCCGACGTCACCCGCCCCATCCACTTCTCCTCTCACTTCACAGACGAAGCAGACGCAGAAGCAGCGCCCGACCCACGTTGTCCTCGTGCACCACGCGCGCAAGGACGAGTGCTCCGCCAAGGACCGCTGTGACGAGCGCGAAGGCCCGCGCAACACCGCCGTGCGCGAGGAGACGGGGTTCAGGTGCTGCCCGCGCACAGGCGACGACGGCGGCGTGATGGGCAGACTCGCGTCCGCGGCGTCATCGTCGACGAGCGTATTAGCAACAGCAGGAACATCTCCGACGGTGGTGGGAGGCGTCCCGCTACACCAGCCCGGAGACGTCGGCCCATGCGTTCGTATACTCAGACAGGTCCTTGCACAGTAGGAGGGTCAAACCAGGGGCCGTGCTTCACCGCGACGAGATCATGGAGTCCGCGGTCCGATTTCACGTGGACCGCGCCGACAGCCACACTTCCGAGGCTGAGCTCGTCGGCATCATCCTTGGCATTCCCCATCCCATTCCCCAGACTCCATGTGGACCACGGCCGCAACCGCCGAGTGAACACTCTCACCGTCAGTCGAGACCCTCGCCTCCGTCAGCTACGATGACGAGCGCCAGACGCAGGCTATCGGCTCACTCTCTGGTGGTTGGATGATGAAGCTCACCCTTGCTTGCGCCATGCTCTTCAAGGTCGACATTCTCCTACTTGATGAACCCACTGTTCACTTGGACGTCATCAACGTCGCTTGGCTCGAGAGCTACTTCACCAGCCTTACGCACTGTACTTCCAGTAAGTCATCGGCATTGTCTTCACACACCACCGTATCCTAACGCTCTTTTCTAGTCATCGTCTCGCATGATCGTGGGTTCTTGTCTTGTCAGCAAAAGCCTCAAGGAGGGCGGCGAAGAGGACGGAGTTAATGAAGGTGGGCCCAAGAGCCGTGGTAGTGCTAGTGCAAGCGAGGGTGAGGACCGCCTCAGCGGCGCCTTCGCGAGCGGCAGGCGATTTTATTTTATTTTCTCAGTGAGGGCCTTGATGGCGGCCTTCATTTTGGGCGGCACCAGCCAGAATAACTATACCAATCATTATCATTGATACTAAACCCGCAGTGTAGTAGGAATTTTTGTTTTAACTTGTTGTTATTGGTTCCCCCCCAGCCCCATCGCCACTTGTTTCGATTGTACATCGGAGGGCAGCAATATGAAGTTTCGAATGAGATACTTGGCTGGTGTAGTATTCGAAGACAAAATCGAAATTTGTAATTAGCGTATTATTACATGAACCAATCAAAGTTGTCTTGGTCAATCCCATACACCAGACAAAGACGATGCATCGCACTCATTGTAAGCTTGTTACTATGGTACTCAAAAAAACCTAAAGTGATCCGACGGCCCATGACACATAACAACATCAGGTCCTCAATGCAGGTGATGCCAAGCATTCCAAGCTCATCCTGATAACCGCTGAGATCAGTCATGCACTTGTTCTTTAAAAATTCCGCCAGCTTATCTCCAGTGTTGGTGATAACGTTGGCTGTGCTAGTAGTCGTGGAGTCACCGGATCCACCGGATCCACCCTCGACTGCGGAGTTACCGGATGTGGTGCCACTGGCTTCAATGCAGCAGTACGGGTGTGATTTAACAGCTACAATTGGTGCCGAATCCGCACTAAACACGAATGGGGCGGGAAGGCCTGCCTCCTTTGAGTCTGGGGTCCAAAACCGTCCAGTCAAGAGACGGAGCAGGAAGACGCGAACGGGCCACTGACCCTCCCAGTTGTGGAGGTAGGGTAGCTTCATTGTAACCTGCCAGGCTTAAGCTAATGTTTGAGTTCGATTGATAATAGCGCTTACTTTTTGGACGACAATGGCTATCTTAACCGTGCTCTGCTCTTCGTACCGTCTCCCCTTGTCTAAATAAAGGTTGGCAAATTCCAAAGCTGTGAACTGTGAAGATCAAGGAGTAGACTTTCAGAACGAGCACGACCTGGTGACGCATATAAGGTACCTTAATTTCAGTCCACTGTGAGTATGACAAACTCGCCCTCTCCAGTAATTCCGTTTCATGCATGAGAATGAACTTCTCGTATCCGATGTTGGGAATCTTCACTCTGAGCGTAGAAGTCGCCGAGGGACAAGGAGCTTCCGGGGGATCGAAAATTGCAGGATGAATGGGACGAAAATGGGTAGGTCTGCGAAAGGGAGGAAGAATTGACATCGTCGTAGAGACAAAGAGAGCTGGGTGACAACGCGTATGTTGGACGGCGATATATAAGTTGAGCGACATGCTGAAACCACACAAGAGATATTACGTACCCCTCGTTACGTATTGCGATCACACGCAGACAGTCCCCACTGCGAACACTATCAAAGTTTGCACCGACCCAAACATGCGGATTGATCAAAAGGAGATATACGCACCAGATCAGCAGCAGGGAGTGGCCACGAGGGGCGGAGGGGGCAACGAGGCAGATGCGGAGGTGTCGCCTCTCCCCCAGGGTACGTGCGAAAGGCAGCGAGGCGGGGGTGAGGGCGGAGGCGGAGGCCCAATGTCCGTCGAGGGCGACGAGCAAACGAATGTGGTGGTGGTGGTGAGAAAGCCGTGGGAATCCCTGAAAATCCGCTCACCACCGCAATATAGGGAACTGCGATGAGGTACAGCCACTGGCTGATCAACGTCATCCCTGATACCTGATCCACTGGCGGATGTTCGTTAATACGCGCAATACTATATTGATATGGTACATTGTCCAGGCCTCAAACGCTCGGCGTCACGAAATGAGATAATACATAGTTGCTACGCGGTCAATAGCGCATCACGATCAATTCAACATTGTTTCCCGTGTACTCTCGAAGCTCAGCCTCGATTGATCGCAAAGCGTTCTCGCGGCTCGGCCCCAGCCCCGCTGTAAAGGCTCGAAACCTGAAGGTGCGCAGGTCCGGGAAATGACCGATCCAAAGCCCAATGAGAGGCTTAAACTGAGATTGAGTGGGCGAAATCAGTTCAAAAACGATTAAACTTACCGTGATGTCGACACCCGTATCGACGCCAGGAGTGTTCCGCCAGTCTACGTACAAGGTCGACACCCCCGATAGAATGGTGCTTGGCGAAATATGCAACGCTGACGCACTAACCATCTTTGGCGGGAGGGTGACTGTCATACACCTGATATGTTTGCACTTCAACAAAGCCGTTTGGATGTCGGCAAAGTAGTCGACGTCGGATCGCCTATTGGTGGAGAGGTATACTGATGCATGGAACAATGTGGACACGCTGCTGAGGTTGCCTATACGTTTCCAGACAAAAAGCGGTGCGGCAAAGGAGGCCAACGCATTGGGGATTCGAAAATTTGCCGGCCAAGAAGTCAGTTCTTGATCGCCATGTTGCTCTATGTTCAGATACGACATCGAAGGATGTCGTCCCAGAAACTTCTGAATGGTGGTCGATGGGCAGCTGGCAGGAACGGAGAAATCGTCCAGGTCACGAATGGTCAAGGGCTCCAGAAGCGCCTTCCACTGGGAGGGTTTAAGCCGAACAGAGGCTAGAGATAGACACTGTATCGATGAGCTGCTGTTTAGGATCTGCCGAGTCGTGAAAGCGATCCCAGGCTGAAAGGCAACGGTAGATAACGTGAGTTCGCGGTAGGAGCTAGCGCTGAGGCTGGTGATGATGCTATTTCGTTGTAAACGCGAAGGAGGTTCTAAGGCTGGCACGTCATGGATAGCGAGATTCTGAAATCCCCCGCAGTGAATGCTGCGAATGAGAGTTGTAAAGCCCTGACGCGCAATACATGGGATAGCGGAAGGATAGAACGTGATGCTCATGGTAGCATCTCCCGGTACAAATTCCGCGACGAGAGCTAGACCGCGGACAACGAATAGCAAAGCGGTGTCGTTATCATCAGGGAAGTGACATGCCAAGTAAGCATCTAGTCGAAGGGTTTGCAACCGAGCAGCTACTACGAGGAGCCGGATGTTCAGCAGGGAAACAGATATGTACCTGTCCTTGAGGCCAGCCGGATGAGGTATGAGTCGGGCGACTGCTGCAGCTGTATTACGGCAAACTTGGGCTGCGGTGAGCCTCGAGTCCAAGTCAAGGTTGTCGTACACTTGAAGCATTACTTCGATGGGTAGGGTCTGAAACGGGCAAAAGCCTGCCGGGAGTGAAGGGATAGCATCATGTCGCCTCAGCCTTATAACACGCGGGAGTGATATCGGAAGAATTGGGGGAAAGAGACTGCCCAGCTTCGATCGCTTGTAAGGCAGCCCGGAGTCTTCAAATGGACACGAGCGCTTAAGCTGTATCAAAGAAGGTGATGAGGATCAGCGGTGATGCAGGAGATTTTAAATCACTGACGTTCATCGAATGCGCCGGCCGATGGACAGCTGGAAAAGTCGTGCGACGTTGCACTGTGGGGACTGAACTATGATGGCGAAGCCTGCGCTTTAACTATAGCTGCCTTGAGTCGACATACAAAACCGCAGATGGTATTATCTTACGGTCCCTTGTTCCGCCACCCATTGAAGCGTTCGCTCTTCGATATGAACGGGAGGAGCGGCGTCTACATTGACCTGCATTTCGCGATCCACGTTGTTGTCAACGCTGGGGTCATACCTTAACTTTGGGAAGAATAAGCAAGAAGTCATATGAAAGACGTAATATCTTACCGGACGACGATTAACGGCATATTGCCCAACTCCGCGCTGAAGTCATGCGTGGTCAGAGCGCAAAGTTGAACGGACTGTTCAACTCACCCTTTGATGCCGACTAACCCACTGACGGGTCCGGTTCTGAGTATGGTTGGGAGGCGAAGTGTCAGCCTTCTTTCGTTTGACAAGGCCCCTGTCGCCATCAATACTACGAGTGCGCTTGAGCTGCAGAGGGGGTAAGCTAAGAAGGGGAACAACGTCGGTAAAATCTTACTTCACGAGAGCGGTGGTGCCTTTCCGTGGACGTGGGAGTTAACGGGTATTCGTGGCCCGACCTCGGGACATCGCCGCGCGCGGAGCGGGGAGAAGGAGAATCACCACCACCTCTAGTACCCATAGCCACCGATCTGATATACTACGCACATCAGCTTTGCATACAACATTCATACGATCAGAGTACCTCAAAGGTGGACATTGATCCTTGGACGATCTTGGAGAGAAGAAACATTGTTACGGAAGACGATGAAAGCAGTTTTTTGAGAGATGACGAGGATAAGTTGCTGCCTCAGCGAGGCATGAATACGTCTTTTATGTAGAAAATCCTGCTGAGGCTACGGCTGAATTACGGAGGCGAACATGGTCACGATTGCACCGTGACGAATCGTCTACTCACGACTGCAACAATTGCGTCGCTAGGCATTTACTAAATCCACACAATGTGAATTTCGCTTTGAGCATCACTAGGAGCTCGAGGCTTGTGACATAGCGCGCCACTAACCCGAAATCATCTGTTTACGCCACTAACCCGAGTCAGACAAAACGATGCGATAGTCTCCGCAAGGCGCACTGGGTTCTCAGAGCCACTATCTCCAGAAAAATGTAAAACATAATAACAGCAGTTCCGGGCATCGCTGTCGCTTGGGTTACGTACCACTGCGACCGATGCCCGCACTAGATAGACTTCTCCAGCCTGTTGCCGCCGTGCCAGCATTGGTTTGTAGCCGACTTTCTTGAGAAAGATCTATTTGAGGGGAGTTGAGCCACGCGTGGTCTGTGGTTGTCTGCGATAGAACATACGTTCGCAGAGTCCATATACTGTGTCCTGGACTATCAATGAATCTGTAATTGCTACGCGCCGAGAGGCGAAAGGAGCCTGAAATACACACATTGATAACGGTACAGTGGGACGGGTCGAGCGAGACAGATGTACTAGATTCACCTTCGCAACGGAGTAGGGAGTAGTAACGTTAGAAAGACACCTACAGATGCGCAACGCACTCGCTCACCGTTTCAAGTAGAGGTTTCAAGTAGAGGAGTTGTCGCGCTGATATATCCTATCGACCAAGCATTTCGCATCGGGAATTAGTCTCCTCTACCCGTAGCAGGTATTCCCTACTTCTTGCGTCGGAGACATTGGTCATTGAGTCCGGAAGCGTGACGACCTGGACATGAAACGCAGTAGGGTATATGCGAATAAAAAGATACGATCATACCTGTTCCCTCATCACGACCTTCCCAACCTTCCCTTATACCATTCCGCACACAGCCGTCATCACATTCACCTGAGTCTCGCGCACAACCCGAGCCGATGTCCACTGCGCTGCTAGCCCCTCATCGCTGCCTAATACGACCGAGGTATCCGCCTCTGGACGTTGATTCCGTTTTGGGATAGTAGGGGAATGGCGGGGATGTGCTGAGTTTTGAGAAGTCGACGTCAGTATATTGCTCGGCCAGCTAGGGAAACTAATACCAGTCAAATATTCATCACCAGCGGTCGATGCGTGGCGCAGGGCCTACAAATTATGGAAGATCAGAGGCGGAGGAAACTATCAGCAAGATGAAAATACCTTTCCAGTGGTGCTTATAGTGTCCTGCTTCGCAATGACACATGGATAGGAGAGCAATGACGAGGGCGAGGGGCGGGAGGAGAACAGCGCTATGTATGCTCTCAGCAAGGAAACAGAAGGCAGAGTGAATGAGGGACAGGGCCTGCTGGGACGTTTGGGAACGACGTTGGGAACGACGATGGGCATGATAGCAATGATGTGGTCGGAAAGAAAGCCCGTGAGAAAGCGTCGGTCGGGTAGATATGGGGAATTGCGACGGGGTACAGCCACCACCCAGCCCCGAGCCCGCTCCGAGACTGCTCACAGGGGTGGTGGCTGTACCCCGTCGCAATTCCCCATATCTACCCGACCGACACTTTCTCACGGGCTTTCTTTCCGACCATATCATAACTATCGTGCCCATCGTCGTTCCCAATGTCTCAGCACTAGGCCCTGCTCCCCACTCACTCTTCCTCTCCTCTCGTGTGGTATATTGACTCATTGCTGATATACGCGGCGCGGAGAGGCTTATCGACCGACACGCGCTCATCCTACTTGATGTCGGACTGTCGGTAATCCGGAGACAGATGCGTAAACTCCTTTCTCCCCGTGCGCTGCGAGGCCTCTCAGTCATACGATCCTTCTAGGTCATTTAACCCTCCTAGATCATTCGAGCAGGCGGGGCAAGGAGGGCGGTTTCGGACACACAACTCTTGGCAGTATAGAAGTACAACTCGTGGCAGTATAGAAGTATTCCATTCATGGTAACGAATCGCGATTCCCTATATAATCGTAATCAGCGCCACCTCTGTCTCTCCCTTTCGCCTTCATCATCTCAGTCGTGGACTTAGCCGTCTGTCTATCCCAAACATGAAACGCATTGCATCTAAGACTGAACGCTCGCGACGCGTGACAAGACGTCGAATAAACGACTTCATCGATGATGTCGCCATTGAAGCAGAAGGGGACGAAGAGGGCGAAGGGGACGAAGAGGGCGAAGGGGACGAAGAGGGCGAAGGG